ACCGTCATCGGCTGACAGCTGACAGTCTGAGTCTCCACTGTTGCTTAGTTACCAATGATCGCGCGCGCACTCGACAATCGCCTACTGTGGACTTCGACCGAAAACGGGAAGAAAATACGGGTATGTGAGCTGGCTGAATAAACATCATTTTTATTCATATCTTTCACATTTACTGGAGTCAGATTCACCGAGTTCACTCCATAGACTGTAAAAAAGGTTCACTCATGGCTGTGCACTTGTAATGACACATTAAGGTTGTTAAGAGGCTAAAAGCAGGTTTAAAACTTTTCCCGTTTAAGTCAACAGGGTGCAAATTTTAAAAAGAGGATAACACGGTGTAGGCAACACCGGTTTTTGTCGTTGTTCTCTGTACTGACAGCACTCCAAATTTACAAAAAATGAGCTCAATGTTAAAATTGACCTGAGTTTTCCTTTAACGTTTGAACAACGTTACCATGGGAGTGAACAGAGTTGTCAGAAAGCTTAATAAAGTTTGACTTTATCTGACTGTTTTGTTGACATGTGTTGACATCTAGTGGATGCATAACGCAAACCCAGTCAAACGTTTGACTGCAGTATCTTATGCGCCTTATAATCCGGTGCGCCCTATATATGAAAAATGTTCTAAAATAGGTCATTCATTGAAGGTGCGCCTTATAATCCGGTGCGCCCTATATATGAAAAATGTTCTAAAATAGGTCATTCATTGAAGGTGCGCTTTATAATCCGGTGCACCGTATAGTGCGGAAAATACGGTACATCTACTAAAGAGCAGTGAGTGTTTTTCTCTTTGTCTTTTGTTGTTTGATTAACATTAATGACTCAGACGGCAGCAGGAAGATGAGGCTGCTGTCACTTTAAGACCGCATGCATGGGTCCAGTATAGCAGGGCCCCTCAGATCTGGCCCTGGAGGGCCAATAGACCTTATTCACAGCAGCGCCATCTTTTATCTTTAATGGGAATGAAAGCGAGGCTGTGAGGGATAGACATGCATGTCTTCAATGGCTTGTACTGTTATTTAATGTGTTTTTGGATTGCTCTGCTGACGAAACACTGCAAAAATATCTTTTCAGAAATTCCAGTAGACAAAAAACTCCAGACAACGTGAGCTGTGGAAAATTATAAGTGATCTAGGAGCTTTACAGCAGATGCCATTGGAAACAGTAAGTCTATAATCCCTCACAGCCTCGCTTTCACACCGGGCATGGCGCTGCTCTGAATAAGGTCTGTGCTAGGTCTATGCCAAGTCTATGCCAGGGCTGCGCTAGGTCTATGCTACGTCTATGCTAGGTCTGTGCTAGGAATATGCCAGGGCTGCGCTAGATCAATGCCAGGGCTGCGCTAGATCAATGCTAGGTCTGTGCTAGGTCTGTTCTAGGTCGGTTCTAGGTCTGTGCTAGGTCTGTGCTAGGTCTATGCCAGGGCTGCGCTAGATCAATGCCAGGGCTACGCTAGATCAATGCTAGGTCTGTGCTAGGTCTGTGCTAGGTCTGTGCTAGGTCGGTTCTAGGTCTGTGCTAGGTCTGTGCTAGGTCGGTTCTAGGTCTGTGCTAGGTCTGTGCTAGGTCTATGCCAGGGCTGCGCTAGATCAATGCCAGGGCTGCGCTAGATCAATGCTAGGTCTGTGCTAGGTCTGTTCTAGGTCGGTTCTAGGTCTGTGCTAGGTCTGTGCTAGGTCTATGCCAGGGCTGCGCTAGATCAATGCCAGGGCTGCGCTAGATCAATGCTAGGTCTGTGCTAGGTCTGTGCTAGGTCTGTTCTAGGTCGGTTCTAGGTCTGTGCTAGGTCTGTGCTAGGTCTGTGCTAGGTCTGTGCTAGGTCTGTGCTAGGTCTATGCCAGGGCTGCGCTACGTCTATGCTACGTCTATGCTAGGTCTGTGCTAGGAATATGCCAGGGCTGCGCTAGATCAATGCTAGGTCTGTTCTATGTCTGTTCTAGGTCTGTGCTAGGTCTGTGCTAGATCTATGCTAGGTCTATGCTAGGTCTGTGCTAGGTCTGTGCTAGGTCTGTGCTAGGTCTGTGCTAGATCAATGCTAGGTCTAAGCTAGGTCTAAGCTAGGTCTGTGCTAGGTCTAAGCTAGGTCTGTGCTAGGTCTGTGCTAGGTCTATGCCAGGGCTGCGCTAGATCAATGCTAGGTCTGTTCTAGGTCTGTTCTAGGTCTGTGCTAGGTCTGTGCTAGGTCTAAGCTAGGTCTAAGCTAGGTCTATGCTAGGTCTAAGCTAGGTCTGTTCTAGGTCTGTGCCAGGGCTGCGCTAGATCAATGCTAGGTCTGCTCTAGGTCTGCGCTAGGTCTGCACTAGGTCTATGCTAGCTCTGTGCTAGGTCTGTTCTAGGTCTGATTAAAGATTTTTCTAGTTGACTATTATTCGTTCGTTTAAGTGATTAGTCAACTAATCGCAGGTGTATATTAATAAGCCAAATAATAATAATGTGCCTTTAATTGCCTACACATAGCCTAATCACCGCTCGAGCACACGCAGAAAGCTCGCCACAGTGCATCGGCAAAAGTAGAGATTATGAATGTGAAAAAACAGCAAGGAGACTGTCAACATTTAAATAATTTATAAACTAGTGTTTTCTGTGTTTTCGGCTGCAGTGATGAAGTTGACGACGCGGACTCGCTATCTCGCAGTAGCGCACGCACATATGTAGCGCCTACATGTCATGCAGTAAGAGCGCTAATAGCTTGAACACTCCGCACAAACACTTCAATATGTTTATATTTATATAGGTTAACATTAAAGCCAGAAGCCATTTAAAGTTGCTACTACTTACATGTTTCAAATGATAAGCCATATTTGAGGTAGTTTTTCTTACACGTACTGTAATTTGCTCAAGCCACCGTTAACGATCTGTCCCTCATGGACTCGCGCGGTTTTTCTTCTTCTTTGAATAACCGACTAATACGATTCAACAACTAAGCCTCTTGTGGTCGACTAACGATCAGTTGACTATTAAGGGGAGCCCCAGTCTATGGGTCTAGTCCAGCTCCAGCCCGGATCAAACACCTGAACAAGCCAATCAGAGTCTGCAGGACCACGAGAGATTAGCGGTGTAGCGATTCCCTCATGTCACGATTCGATACATCTCACGAGACTGAACTCACGATACCATATTACTGCGATACTCCAAGACATATGGTAAAGGGTTAACAAAAATGTACTGTTTATTAAAATGCTAAATTTGATATTTCATTGTGTGTGTAAATGAATAGGGAGTTGGTGCTGAAACCCAAATCACAGGACAATAGAGACGCCAGAATAACAATATTCATGATTCTGAAGCTGAAAATACTGAATTATTTTAGACGAATATGCCTTCACTGTCACTGACTAGATATATTTATAATAATGTCGGCCTCTTTTACCAGTAACATCAGACATGTGGCATTATCAGGACCCACAAATATCCCCCATCGCATTATTATACATTATATTCAACATTATATTGAACATTTGAACGAATCAGTTGACTAGGATAGATTAAGATAGTCAAATGCTTCTTCCCTTGCATGAATCAGGCGTTTGAATCGTTTGAATCTCAATGATTCGCTCATTAACAGTGACTCGCTGCCCCCTACTGGCGGGTTCAGTTTCACATTTAAAGTATCTTTTCTTGTTTTAAAGCTGCAGTCCGTAGCTTTCCCTCTTTGTCGCCATCTCTCTGTTCGAAATCTGTAACTGCAGTGATTCGCGGAATTATCATCTTTACGTGGGTTGTAAATCGGCATGAAACAGCGCGGATGAACACAGTGCTTTGAGGCGAGTGCTGCTGTCAGTCACGTATGTGTGGATACTGGCATACAGTGTGGATACTGGCATACAGAATCACAGATTCACTTTTTGAAAGTTTGACCAACAAAATGTCTTCTGAACAAGTAAGTAAAATCCATTTTTGTTCTGACCAACTAAGGGGGAAAAAGCATTCGACATGATAAGCTTCGTTAGATTTAATCAACGCGATTTACAGCAACCGTGCAAATTATAGCCTACTTTGTTCTCAAATTGTTCATGTTAACAACATCAGCATTGCGTGACTAATGTTAAATTTAATGTGTTTTATGGTTACCTGTGTAGTTCAGAATTCATATTCTCCATAATAGCAAAACGAGAAAGGCACAACAAAGGAAACTCCATAACTGTGTGAATTAAGCAAACGTACTGTTACACGATTGAACTATTGAAATGTCTTACTTGTTCAGCAGAAAAAAGCCGTCTCTTCTTCCGTTTCGAACCCCTTGAAAACACGGAGTTCACGCACTTTTCAAAAGCCCCGCCGATGTTTTAATCCTTGTGTTCGCATGAGACGGTTTCTTTCTCTTTCTCTAGCCACCTTAAATCCGAAGTACGAAGTCTTTTGGGTTTTATAACTGCTGAATCTCCAGTTGACACTGATGATTGTTGTTTGGATCTTTCTGGATGCCATAAGTTTAATCATGTAAAGTGCTGCGAGAAAAGCCTATACATCTAAACATCTCGTCACGCGCAGTATAGCCGGCTAGCCGAAACTCCTTCTTTATGTGTACGGGTGTGACGTCATGACGCAAAGACATGCTCGAATTACCCGCGGAAACCCACCAGTACCACTGGAATTAAAATCATTATTACAAGCTAACCGTTTTGAATCTAGCTATGGCAAGCATATAGTGTTGACCACTGGCAGAATAAGTTTTTTTTTAATATAATTATTTTGGATTATTTTTTTATTAAAAAAGTTACGGACTGCAGCTTTAAATTATTTTCAATATCAATATTGCAAAGATTAATTTTGTTTATACTGATTTCATTTGATTAGTAACAACCCTATTGTGTCTTATTTTTGTAATTGAATTTGATTAAATTTTTTAAAATTGACACAAAAGATGATGCATGCATATAATTAGGTTTAAAAAATGGCTGTATAAAGGTAAAAATGCCCATATTAGGTAAAAATCAACTGAAACGTATTGGAAAAAAAATTATTTCTGTCCCTGCTGTGAACTGACCTCCACACAGAGTATGAAGAATATCCAGACTTTAGGAGTCGCTGTCCACGACAGTCCTAAACCTGCCAAAGTACCAGCGCGATAAACACACTCAGCAAAATAGCGTCTAATAATCGTTATCCACAAAATCCTAGAAATTTAGCTGTCACTGCACTGAACACCAGCTGTGCTTCATATGCATACTACATTGGTGTCCTGTGAAGTATTTAAAATAAACTTTTGTCTTTCTTTTTCACTCTTTTGCAGATTTTGCGGTGGAAGACGGAGAAATGTTAGAAATACAGATAATCAAGGTAAACACTACATGCAGCCGATGCCTCTATCATATATTTACCATCATCGCAACACTATAGCTTTTATTCATGGTTTGAATTTGTTTTGTATATTTCTATATATTTTTGATCCATTTTAATTTTAGCTGATTTATTTTAGGACATTTAGTACAGTTTAATGGGTTTAGTTTTAGTTAATAACCCTGATAGTTACTCTCTTGATGGGATGTGAAATGTAACATTGTTAATATTTCTCAAAAGGAGTTTTTGACAATAGCTTTATTTCTATTATGTATTTGCACGGTTTGTTTAGCAGTTTTCTTTCCGATTAGGTCAAGTTATGTTTAAAGGTTGTATCGGCGATTGTGGGTGACGTCACCCCTCCCTCCCGTTTCGTGCATCATGAGCCAAGTCATATCACACGCGCAGTTTTGCTGGTGCTTCGTATGATAAAACGTGCCAGAGTCAGCCATATAGCTACAGATCTAACGTTATGGGGAAAACTCATGGTAACAACAGCTATCTGGAATAATATTATTATTCGGCTAACGTTAGTCCTGAACGTAGGCTAGTGTTATTGCAACACAATGTGTTGGCTAGACATATCAAAGTAGACTCATATAATAAACGTAACTCACACACTAAATCCCTACAATCTGATATTCCCTAGAGCTATCCAAGTTTAGTCGAGCTTCACTCATATCTTTTAAAGAAGGATATTTTGACACACAGTTCACATCTGAAAAAGTCAGCACTAGAGGCTACTCACCTGTCCAGAAGAAACAGTGCAGCGTCCGATTTAAAAATGTTCAAATCTTTAAGCTCTCTCCACCGCTCAAAAGCCTTCCCAATTATTATTGGTTTCTTTAACGAATAACGGCGGTTTTCCCTCGCCCTAATCCTCCTCCTCCTCTTCTCTGGGATTGCCTCTTCCATGTTCACTGGATCTGGTCCGTTGATAGACGCGCTGGCTTCTTCTTCAGCTCTGACTTCGCGTGCAGGGGCAGTGCACGAGCGCAAAAACAAACAAAACCCGCCCCTGTCGGTGATTGGTTGGAACACTGTTTATTTTGGTTTTGAGTGGTGGTTGTACCCATTTGTTTTCGTGTGCAGATCTCAGAGCCGAGGCTGCCCACAGAGACGTGGTGTTTTGACGGCTGCTTATGGGGCGGGCAGCTAGCGGATCGCTAGGAAAGATTAGATGAATGTGATCATTTATATTTGGTCCTGAAATCGCTGATACAACCTTTAACACAGCTTTTATAGGTAGAAAAAAATAATAAAAAGACATTTGTCAATAATGAAGTATTTATATTGGCTTATTTATAATAATTACGCTTTTACTGTGCGTTCACACCGGACGCGAATAGTGCGTCAAATTCGCGTCTACCACGTCTAGTTTGACGCTTGACCACTTTGTGTTAATTCGCGTGTCAATGGCGAAATTGACGCGCGTAAAAACAAAAGTTTGAAGCGAAATTTACGTGCGTCAGAGGCGAAATCCGGAGACGAAAGTTTCGAAACCCGTCGGCGGCCATCTTTTTAGATGTTTATCGAGCATTAGCATTAGCATTATTCGAGAGAGTCACCGCTCGTATATGCTCTGGAGAGCAGAAACAGCTGCGTAGGGGACATCGTCGCTGTACTCGGGTCCACCAGACCCTCCGGAGGCTTTCAGGAGTTTCACAATTTGCTCCAGGAGCTAGGTTTGGTGGACCTAACGGTGAGGACGCTGACGAGGACAGTGTAGGCCGTATAAGGCCTCGGCCTCGAGTGGTCTATGCCTGTCGCGCCCGCGCTCTACAGCCCGGCGCGAGGTTCACCCTCGCCCGCATCCACCTAATCTGTCATTTATTTTTGTTTTGATAATAAATGGAGCCAGCCTCCAAAAGTGAAACCTGTCCTGTGATTTTTTTAATTTATTATACACTAAGTGTTTGTTGTTTTTACATTAAAATAATAATGTTTCATATAATCTAAAATAGATATGGAATAAATAGCATTCAATACAAAATGAGTACTATCTCTCATATATTAAAATTGAGTTTTTATGTGAAAGATCTGCTTTGTTGTGCATTAGAACCACACCAGACATTTTAGTAATATTACAAAATAATTTATTAAAATAACAAACTTTCACTTCACCACGTGACAGCAGCAAGCAGGCTCCTGATTGGTTAACGCGGCGCGAATTGACGCAGAAGTTAAAATTTTTCAACTCGGGCGGCAGACGCGAATTCGCGTCAAACGCGTGAATGCACAAATAGCACTAACTAAATCATTCGCCGCAGGATTTTTTTACGCGCATAACGCGTCTTTGCATTGACTTAACATTGAAATCACTTGCGCCTGATGCGCTATTCGCATCCGGTGTGAACGCACCATTAGGCTCCATGTTTTTTATCACTCTTTATACAAAGTTTTTATATTTTTGGAAGGATTGTCCCTTTGCATCACAAACAAATGTGTTGACCCTTGACCCTTTACTCATTAAAGTCATTGCAATGAACAAATGGATTATCTGTAATGTAAACTAATGTCACACTTGCTAACATTAGGTATGTTCACATGCACTAATATTCATCAATTCAGTTTCTGGAAGTTAGATCAACCCTAAACATTGCAATCCGATTCACATATTTGTTTACATAGGAATCGCATGTATTCTGAACTAAACTTCAGGCATCTCAGTCTGATTGAGCCATCACTAATATCGATAATAAGCAGATCTTTGGTGTGCATGAGTGTATCTTGATGAGTTTTTCAGGAGGTAAACGAGGTGTGTGTGTGTGTGGTCAGGTGGAGGACCCGGGATGCCTGTGGGCGCGGGTCCTGAGAGGAGCAAGCGTTCAGCCGGACAGCCCTGAGGAGTACGAGCAGCTGAGGGTGCAGATGAACCTCTTCTACCACGAGGTCAACATGGACCTCCAGAAGCTGAAGCCGGCAGAACTGAAGCAGGGGCTGGTATGGCAGATCAGGGATATGAAGAGTAATAACTTCCTATGATTCATATTTGGGGGTTTGCCTTGTCCTGCGGTGCAACATGCTGCTCTACCAGTCTGAATACTCATTCCTTTTCATGGTTTTAGAAGGCTAAATATCATTTAATCAGAGCAATGGCATAACCGGAGAAAGTGGGAGAGTCGTAGTGAAGAAACATTAAACATCTTATATTTTTCTGCTAATTTTTCGAGACTCTGTTCTACACACTGGACACCTTTTCTCTTAAACTAACACTTATTACCTACATATGCAAATGTTTTTTACTCATTTTCATCATTTAAGCATAAGATTTGAGTTCATGAGAAACAAACAAAAGTCAAGTATGTCTAAAGTGACATAAGTGTCAAAAGTGTTGCTAATTCTTTTATAATTCCTAATGCAACTTTTACTTCATTTTAAGTGAGAGAATACTTGAAATATTAGTAAATTATTTAATTGTAACTAGTACATTTTCTTTCCCATTTAAAAGAGACGTGTCAGGGTTCCAGACTGCGACCATTTTTTGAGGATGTGCGAGTTAAAATGTTATGTGGTCGCATTTGTGCGAGTGGACGCTTGAGCAACAGAACGCCGTTGTATCAGCAGCTGCAGTCCGTAACTTATGTTCAAAATAAACGAGTAGGCTACATCATGAATACATTTTCCAAACCGTGTTTTTGACTTATTCTGAATCACTACGGTACGCCTATAATAAGTGTTTATATTCGGACTATTTTATCCCGAGGTCGTCTCGGCTGCGGAGTAGCCCAGTGCCTGCGTGACTCGCCATAGACATTATCGGAGAGAAGTAGCTCCGTCTACAATGTTCTTCCGCAAGACACGTGCAGTTTATTTATTGACGAACGTAGACGTCACGCGCATTGCACACTGATGGTGAAACGCGCCAATTACGAATTCACGAATTAAGGCATATAAAAATGATAAAAATGGTCTCACGAAACACAGAGCCCCTTCCTACGTCTTTTCAGCGGTTATATTTTCCTCTGTCGAGCGATTACTCTCATGATCGCTCGACAGAGGAAAAGGAAATTATTATAAAATGCAGAAGGTAAGGAGTGTGAGATTTCTGCTTTTTGTTACAACTATAAACTTTGATAACGAAAAATCTGTATCAGTTTATTATAATACTCTAATCTTTTAAAATGTAATGCATACATTTGAATGTTTAATGATTTTTAAAAGATAGAAAGATGATAATAGATAGATAGATAGATAGATAGATAGATAGATAGATAGATAGATAGATAGAATATGATTCAAATGTAAATAGATAGATTGTATATAATTCAAATGTAAAATGCTTAAAATTACAAATTTAAATTACTGTCCAAAATCCTGAAATTTGGCAATGATAATTAATATATTACAGGTATTTATGCTGAAACCCAGAAAGCCTTTGCTAGCCTTGGTCCATTAAAACCACTATTCATCAGCATGCATTGATTAATCCCATGGCATGTAGCAAAAAAAGAAAAGAAAAAAGGTGCGACCAAATCATATGCTGGTGCGACCAACTGAGAAAGTTGGTAGCACCAGTGCAACCAGTGCAAAAGTTAGTCTGGAGCCCTGCGTGTTTCGAGAGTGTTTGATCCTTTAGTGTTAAGGTCATTGCACACCGAGTCTGAAATTCTCGTCCGAAGTTTTCACACGTAAAAAAATAAATGCGACCTCACGTTGTGTCAATAGGTGCGTTTCCATTACAGATTTGCGCAAAACTTGTGCGATTTTTTTTTTTCTTCTCTTCTAAATGTCAACAAAAAACTATTGTGAAATGACAGTGTTTCCATTAACCGATGTTATGCGACTAAAACGTAATTTTTTCCTCTCGCGATAATCCTTCCAAAAATCATGGCGATGGATGTTGGAAGGTTTACGTATGTCTCAGCTGCTGCAGAGCGTGCCGAAATCGAAACTGCTGATGAGATATAAAGGAACATATCTAGTGGAAAATGAGAATGTTACGAAAATAAGAATGCATTACTTTGCACTTGTATAGTCGTTTAAAAAATAATCGTTTATCCTAGCCCTACTGAGAAGCCTTGTGTTGAAAATGTGTGTTGCCCCCTTTTCAAGTTCTATGAATCAATTGTTCAATCATGGAGTTTGTTAAAATTTTCAAGAGTGGGTGATGAAAATTATGGAGGTGCAGAACCTTTGTTTTTTAACCCTTTTTTTAAGCTACAGCCTCCATTATCAGGTTCTGTAATTGAAATGTTTTTGAATGCTGGAATAACTAGAGTTCTAGATCTGCTTGATATAACAAGAGGTCAGTGGAGAACGGCTCAGTCACTGGCTGACCTGGGGTGCGTTTCCCAAAAGCATCGTTGGCCAACTATGATCGCCATTTCCATTGAACTCTATTGGTAACGACGGAACTTGTGACCATAGTTGGCTTTGGGAAACGCACCCCAGGTCGGGATGAGGCCAGTAAGAACAGTGGAAGGCGTAGTTAAGAGCTTCAAGGCTTGTTTCCCCCCAGTATTCACATCATTTGTAGATTCTGCTTTAAAAAGTCGCTTGTTGGTAAAGAGTTTTCCAGCATTAAAAGTTGTCTCTAAAAAATGTTTGGAAATCAAAGAGAATACTAAGGTTCTTTTGTTAAAGGGGTTTGAATTTTTGGATTTCCAAAGTGTGGGGAAGAAAACCGTTTATTATGTTTGTGCTAAATCGGCACACTTTGGCCAGTTGAAGGAAAGGATAGATACTAAATGGAGGACGTACCTATCAGTGCCCAGAGATGTGGATCCCTCATGGAGATCTGGAGTGGAGAATACTCCACAGTGTGTTGGCTACAAACTACTTTGTTTCTAAATTTAATGAAGTGGTTTTACCTGAATGTTCTTTCTGTAGGGCTTCCGATACTGTATTTCATTTATTCTGTGAGTGTTCAAGGCTGGTTCCACTTTTTGTACTTTTGGAAAAACTAATTATGAAATTGGGTTTTTCTTTTACAAAGACCCTTTTTATTTTTGGTTGCAAGTATAAACAGTCATGGCGCGAACAGTGTGTGCTTGCCAATTTATTAATGGGCCAAGCCAAGTTAGCAATCCTGAAAACACATCAATGTAAAAATGCTGCTCAAGATGTTGATTTGTTGTTTCTTTTAAATCATTGGTAGAATTTAGGGTTGCTATTGAATTTGCATATTACAAACAAACTGATAATGTACCTTTCTTTACAATGAGGTGGGGCGTGAGAGATGCTTTAGTGACAATTAGTGAGTTTGGAAATTTGGTTTTTAATTGGTAAAATTACCAATTAAACTTTATATTTTATTATTTATGTATGTATATGTATATATATGTTTTTTTAATTAATTTATTTATTTTTTATTTATGTGTGTTTTTTGTATATTAGCTCTGTAATGTTCTGGAAAATGGGGTAAATTTAAAAGGGTTTTAAAAGTCAAAAGTCTCTCTCTCTTTCTCTCTCTCTTTCTCTCCCTCTCTCTCTCTCTCTCTCTCTCTCTCTCTCTCTCTCCTCCTCTCTCTCTCTCTCTCTCTCTCTCTCTCTCTCCTCCTCTCTCTCTCTCTCTCTTTCTCTCCCTCTCTCTCCCTCTCTCTCTCTCTCTCTCGCTCTCTCTCTCTCTCTCCTCCTCTCTCTCTCTCTCTCTCTCTCAAAATTCAAATGAGCTTTATTGGCATGACTTATACAGTATTGCCAAAGCATTGGCCATTACATAGGCAATGAACAAATAATCGATAAATTAATAATGTAAACAAATGCATGAATATATTACATTTATATCATAATGAATCAAAATGAAATATATCAAAATGAAAATAAACACACACACAAAAAAACAACAAGAACAACAACACACAGTTTTGAACCAACATTCAGACTTTAGTTTTGTCCACTGGCTGACTCTCGTAGTTTGTGGCAGGCTATTACATACTTTGCTGCTGTTGTGATTGAGCAAGAGTTTTCTCCCAAAATATGAATTAATTTTTCAGAATTTGGCAATGCCATAAAATTTGGTTCTAGCTGTTGAAATCTAGTGAAATAGTCCGATCTAATGCTGTGATAGTGATCGCAGTGTATGAGGAAGTGTTCTTCTGTCTCCACCTCCCTCTGAGAGCACAGAGAACACAGTCTCTGCTCACACACACACACACACACACACACACACACACACACACACACACACACACACACACACACACACACACACACACACACACAGTCTCTGCTCTCTCGGCTGCCATCTCTGCCGGTGCCGGCCTCTCTCTACAGCCAGACTGTGGTCACTCAGCCTGTATCTGGTTAGGGTCTTTCTCACTTTATGCTCTTTCACACAGCTCAGGTATTCTGCTGGTTTATACTCTCTTTTCAGGTTTAAATAGAGTTCCATCTTCTTTTGTAATTTAGTAGCATCTTTCCAATAGTTAATGTAATTTAGTTTTTGTAATTGTATAATTTGGTTTGGCCAGAGAGTGCTGTGCTGGTCTGGCTGTAGTTTGAGCATCAGCTGTGAGAGTGCGCTCCGGGGCCGGTTCTGCTCCTGACACCGCAGGGCTTCGGCCTGGGATGAGCTCGGGTCACTGCGCTCCAGGGCCGGTTCTGCTCCAGACACCGCAGGGCTTCGGCCTGGTATGAGCTCGGGTCACTGCGCTCCAGGGCCGGTTCTGCTCCAGACACCGCAGGGCTTCGGCCTGGTATGAGCTCGGGTCACTGCGCTCCAGGGCCGGTTCTGCTCCAGACACCGCAGGGCTTCGGCCTGGTATGAGCTCGGGTCACTGCGCTCCAGGGCCGGTTCTGCTCCAGACACCGCAGGGCTTTGGCCTGGTATGAGCTCGGGTCACTGCGCTCCAGGGCCGGTTCTGCTCCAGACACCGCAGGGCTTCGGCCTGGTATGAGCTCGGGTCACTGCGCTCCGGGGCCGGTTCTGCTCCAGACACCGCAGGGCTTTGGCCTGGTATGAGCTCGGGTCACTGCGCTCCAGGGCCGGTTCTGCTCCAGACACCGCAGGGCTTCGGCCTGGTAAGAGCTCGGGTCACTGCGCTCCAGGGCCGGTTCTGCTCCTGACACCGCAGGGCTTCGGCCTGGTATGAGCTCGGGTCACTGCGCTCCGGGGCCGGTTCTGCTCCTGACACCGCAGGGCTTCGGCCTGGTAAGAGCTCGGGTCACTGCGCTCCAGGGCCGGTTCTGCTCCTGACACCGCAGGGCTTCGGCCTGGTATGAGCTCGGGTCACTGCGCTCCGGGGCCGGTTCTGCTCCTGACACCGCAGGGCTTCGGCCTGGTATGAGCTCGGGTCACTGCGCTCCGGGGCCGGTTCTGCTCCAGACACCGCAGGGCTTCGGCCTGGTAAGAGCTCGGGTCACTGCGCTCCGGGGCCGGTTCTGCTCCTGACACCGCAGGGCTTCGGCCTGGTAAGAGCTCGGGTCACTGCGCTTCAGGTGCTGGAAGAACTTTATAGCTCTTTTTTGGATAGTGATCAATAAGGGGTATTGTCCTAGTTCAGCTCTGCACGAGTTGTTTGGTGTCGCTCTGTTTACTTTTAGGATGCTTTTACAAATTTGGGTATGCAGAGTTTCGATTTCCTCTTTTTCCCATTTTGAGAAATCTTGGGTTTTTAGAGGTCCCCATACCTCACTGCCGTACAGAGCAATCGGTTCGATTATTGCTTTTAGGATTTTTAGCCAGGTTTGAATTGGAATTTCATGTCGAATAGTATTTTTAATCATGTAGAAGACCCTCATCGCTTTCGCCTTCAGTTCAGTCACAGCCAGATTAAAGTTCCCTGTCGAACTCAGTTTTAGCCCCAGATATGTGTATTCGTGGGTGTGTTGGAGGACTTGGTTTCCTGCTCTGAAGATGTATTTATTTTCCTACACCTGGATCTATTTTGAAAAATCATTATTTTAGTTTTTGCGAGGTTAATTTTGAGAGCCCACGTTTGACTGAATGTCTCTACGACGTCGAGGAGCTGCTGTAGTCCCTCTTTTGTTTTCGACAGAAGGACTAAATCATCTGCAAAGAGGAGACACTTAACTTCTGATTGCGTCAGGGTTGGGCCGGGGGCCGTGGAGTTATTTAAGGCTTTGGCTAGTTCGTTTATATAAATGTTAAATAGAGTGGGGCTCAATGGGCAACTTGTCTGACTCCTCGTTGTTGGGAGAAAAATTCTGTTCGCTTATTCCCTATTTTTACAGCACATGTATTGTTTTTATACATGGTGCTTATCAAATCAAATGTTTTCCCTCCAATCCCATTTTCCAGTAGTTTTAGGAAGAGTCCTTCGTGCCAGATCGAATCGAAAGCCTTCTCAAAGTCAATAAAGCAAGCGAAGACTTTGGATTTATTTTGGTATACATGTTTATCAATGATCATGTGAAGAGTGTAAATGTGGTCAGATGTTCTGTGTTTGGGCAGAAATCCAATTTGACTTTTGTCCAGAATTTTGTGGGTTTTGAGAAAGTTCTGCAATCTTATATTAATAATTGAACAGAATATTTTCCCCAGGTTGCTATTGATACATATGCCTCTGTAATTGTTTGGCTCATATTTGTCTCCTTGTTTAAAGATTGGTGTGATTAGGCCTTGGTTCCAGGTGTCGGGGAAATATCCTACTCTCAAAATAATGTTGAATAATTTGGTTATTGCGGTTTTAAATTTGTCATTGGTGTATTTGATCATTTCATTTAATATTCCATCTATGCCACATGCCTTGTTGGGTTTCAAAGCATGTAGTCTCTCTGTAAGCTCATTTACTGTGATTGGGAAATCCAGGGGGTTCTGATTGTCTTTAATTTTTTCTTTCAGGATTTCTAATTTGGTTTTTAATTCATTTCGAGCAGGATTTGTTTCAGTTGTTTTGTACAGATTTTCAAAGTGTGTCCTCCATATGTCCCCGTTTTGAATGGCCAGTTCTTCCTGTTGTGGCCTATAGAGCTTGTTCCAATTGTTCCAGAAGTTACTGGTATTTATTGACTCCTCCATTTCTTGAAATAATTGTTCTGTGTGTTCTTCCTTTTTTACTCTAAGAGTTTGTTTGTACAGTCTAAGGGCTTCGTGATATTGATGGCGGAGTTCTTCATTGTCGGGATCTCTGTGTTTTTGATTTGACAGATTTCGTACTGTTGTTCGGATATTTTTGCACTCACTGTCAAACCACATTTCTTTGTTTTTTTTTGGTTTCCTTTTTGATGATTTATTTTTCAAATTGCACATGGATGCTGATTGGTGGAATATTTTGGTAATGTCACTAAGTGCCAGATTTATGCCTAATTTATTTTGTGAATATGTGTTCATTATAAATTTGTCCAATAATAATTTGATCGTTTGACTTTCTATTGCATTTTGATAGTTTTCTGTGCTGTTATTTGTCCACTTGTAGGGTGGTTGCAGCTTCAGTAAATGAGAGGGCTGTCTGCGTGATTCATTGGTATGAGTTCGTCTTAAATACAGTGTAATTTTACAGTGGTCTGACAGAGGTGTTTGAGGACTGACTGTGAATGCCCTGAGATGCACTGGGTCAATGTCTGTAATGAAGTAGTCTACAGTACTGTTGCCCAAGAAAGAATTAAAGGTGTAACAACCGAAAGAGTCTCCCCGTATACGGCCGTTCACTATATACAGGCCCAGTGATCGACAGAGCTCTAGCAGGCTTTTCCCACTTCTGTTTGTGAATTTGTCATAATTGTTTCTTAGGTGGTATGAGGGCAGAGAGTGGCTGGTGTTTGTGATATATTTGTCTCCCTTAACAAAGTCTGGTTCATTTCCAGTTCTGGCATTTAAATCGCCACACATTAACACATTCCCTTTAGTCTGGAAATGGCAGATCTCCTCCTGCAGGATGGAGAAGGTTTCTTCACTGTAATAGGGGGACTCAGCTGGGGGAAGGTATATAGCACACAAGAATATATGACGATCTGTGGAGACGATGTCTTTTTGGATTTTTAACCAAATATTAAATTTTCCGATTTGTATATCTGTGATTGAGTTTATGAGGTGTGCTCTATACCATATCAGCATTCCCCCTGACTCCCTGCCCTGAGTCACCCCTCTTAGTTTCGTCGATGGTAGGACTATTTCCCTAAATCCAATTGGACAGCCAGTGGACAAATCTCTAACATTCCATGTTTCCTGTAGAATTATAATGTCAGAGTTCTCAATTTCTTTTTTAAAGTCCGAATGTTGGCTCTTGATACCAAAAACAGAGGACCTCAGTCCTTGAATGTTCCAACATGTGACTTTCAGGGAATATGAGCTCATTAAATAATCACATTTGTTATTTCAAAACAAGACAGACATCAGTATATTGAATTGACAAATCAAGAAGAATATATTAAATGATCCAAGAAAATAAATTAAATGTATAAATCAGGTGAAATAAATATAAAAGATATCATATTCATATTACAAATACATAGTTTTTTTTCTGTTTTTTTTCAAGTATAATAAATAATATGAGGTTTCTAAAAATCTGGTATAAAATGAGTATAAAATAAAAATAAACACATAGTACACATGCATACACTTCCATACTTTTTTTCTTTTCTTTTTTTTAAGAGTAATAAATAATATGTTTCTAAGAATCTGATTTAAAATAAGTAGAAATAAAACACTCTCACACATACACACACAATCATACATACATTTTCATTTTCTTAACTCACTTTCTTTTTTTCTTTTGTCTTTTTTTTTTGTGAGTCACTAACCCATGAGATGTGAGCACAGCAGAGTCAACATGTGCTGGATGTTTGTGAGGTCTCTGGATGGAGATGAGGCCGGCTGGCTGTGGGCTGTGCTGGGGCTGCAGTGGCTCAGGGATCTGCCGGCTGCTTCAGCATAGCTCCGTCTGTCCGGGTGTTGCTGCTGCTGCTGCTGATGATGATGATCATGTGGATGAGAAGGCGAGGGGGCTGCAGGCCTGGTCATGCGGTGTGTTCCAGGGGGGAAGACAGAGCCTGTCGTGGGGTTCCTCCGGTCAGGGCTGAAGTGGTGGAGGGGGTGGTGTTTTGGGGGGTGTCCCTGCAGTAGCTCTATGGGGTGTCCATGAGGACGCTGCGGTGCGCTGGAGCTGCGATTGAGTGCGATGTCCTTCAGGGTTTTGGCAAAGATGGGGACTGCCCTTCTGTGGAGGTGGACATGGTCATATAGGCTGCTGAGATCCAGTGTGGGGTGCTGAGCCAGGTGTACGTTGGGCTTTAGGGCACAGTCTCTGGATACTCTAGCATTTAGATGCCGGATGGTGTCTGGGTGGAAGTCCGAGCGCAGTAGCAGGGTGGAGAGGATGATTTTGGAGTTGGGGAAGTTGGAGGATGCCTTCTCAGTCACGTTTATGAGAGCTGTAGCTACTCTCTCTCGCTGAGCTCGGAGGTCGTTGGTGCCGGTGTGGATGATGATGTGGCTGGGGGAACCCAGCTGCTCTTCACACAAGAGCTCCAGGGCCTTCTCACTGTCTCTCTCTCTCTCTCTCTCTCTCTCTCTCTCTCTCTCTCTCTAGTTCTGGCAGTTCGGCGAGTGGCTGGACGTGGTGATTGATGACCGTCTGCCGGTGAAGGATGGGAAGCTGTTGTTCGTTCACTCAGCGGAGGGTGGAGAGTTCTGGAGCGCTCTGCTGGAGAAGGCCTACGCCAAGTAAACATTCATTCATTCACTCATGTGTTTATTAAGTACCGATAAACACAACAGTAGTTGATCCATAGTGCTGTAGAAATGAGATAAAGCAATGAAAGGAAACATCAGCAATCAGAAAATCAGCAAATTTAACATACAAAGTTTAAAAAGCCAAAGTAAATTTTTTTAGATTTAAACTCGTTTAAGGGGAGACTATTCCATCGCCTAGGCCCAACTATTGCAAATGCACGACCACCTCTTGCTAATCCCTAACTCTACGTGTGAAACGCCGTTCGCTGAGTTTCTGCTGTGTTCTCCAGGCTGAACGGCTGTTACGAGGCTCTGTCGGGCGGCAGCACGTCCGAGGGCTTCGAGGACTTCACAGGCGGGGTCACCGAGATGTACGAGCTGAATAAAGCGCCCGCTGACCTCTTCAGCATCATCGGCCGAGCCGTGGAGAGAGGCTCGCTGCTGGGCTGCTCTATCGACGTGAGCGCTGACTCTCTCTCTCTCACTCGGCCTAATGCTTGAACTATGGAAGCTTGTTTCCGCCACAGAATGAAAAATAAAAAAGGTAATTGCGCCTTTTTATCTCACAATTCTGACTTTTTTTCTCACAATTGCGAGTTTACATCTCGCAATTCTGAGTTTATTTCTCAGAATTGCGTGAAAGTCGCAATTGCGAGATATAAAGTCAGAATTGCGAGATATAAAGTCAGAATTGCGTGATATAAAGTCAGAATTGCGTGATAGTCGCAATTGCGTGATATAAAGTCAGAATTGCGTGATAGTCGCAATTGCGTGATATAAAGTCAGAATTGCGTGATAGTCGCAATTGCGTGATATAAAGTCAGAATTGCGAGATATAAAGTCAGAATTGCGTGATATAAAGTCAGAATTGCGTGATATAAAGTCAGAATTGCGTGATATAAAGTCTCAATTCTGTCTTTTTTTCTCGCAATTGCGACTTTATTTCTCATAATTGCGACTTTATATCTCGAGATTCTGACATCTTTTCTCAGAATTGCGACTTTATATCTCGCAATTGCGACTTTATTTCTCAGAATTGCGACTTTATATCTCGCAATTGCGACTTTATTTCTCAGAATTGCGACTTTATATCTCGCAATTGCGACTTTATTTCTCACAATTCTGACTTCATATCTCGCAATTGTGAGATAAAAAGTCGCAATTATTTTTTCATTTTTTTTATTCAGTGGCGGAAACAAGCTTCCATACACTTTTCAGTGAGGTGTTAGTATGTAATAAGCTGTTTAGCAGCAGACCGCCAATCAGAAGCAGCCTCATTATATATTCATGAGCTTTGTACGTCACAGAAACTTGATTGTGTTTCAGATTCTGAGGTCTGTGTTGTGTTTCTTTGTCTTTGCAATATAAACTATATAATTATATAGTTTGTTAAATAGGGCTGGGTATCGAGTTCGATTCTTTTACGGCACCATTCTTTCACACAGAGACACGCAGAACATGCAGGAATCATATTTACATTTTTTGCCTTTTGCCGTGTAATATTCTCACTTTGACAACATTTCATTTGAGAGAAACTATCCTCACATCACATAAGAAGGTCTACACTTCAACCCATCAATATATATAATGTGCATCTTAATGTAATACTACTATTGCTTCTAATAATACTACTAATAATACAATTTTCATTAAAACTCATTTTCTTCCATGTTATAATTTTAACAGTAAACCTCTGTTGTGTTGCACTTGTTTGACAAATAATTAAAGGGCTTGTTTAATTTTTATTTGAATAAAAGATAAATTAATGTTTTGTGCCTTCATTTGATTACCAGAAAAATTCAAATACACAACACAAAATAATGTTTTTTGTTTTTTGTTTTACTTTTTTTTTTGTTAAAGCTTTGGCACGTTTAGAGGAACATGCTAATTTGAGTTTTCTAAGTTTTTAATCTAATATTTATATCTCATTTCAGCTTTATATAAATTCGGGAAAATTATTTCAACAGTTGTAGTTTTAGTTAATGATCACAACACTGCTAAGTCTGATTATTTGGCTCATGTGTGTATTGGTGAGGGTGTTTAAGTTCATTGTCTGATTGCATTACGCTTCTTTTTGTCCTCAAGATCACCAGTAAGTTCGACATGGAGGCGGTGACCTTTAAGAAGCTGGTCAAAGGTCACGCGTACTCAGTGACTGGAGTGGAAGAGGTGAGCCAGAGACTTAAACACAAACACTTACTATTCACAACAATCGAGCGAGTTTTAGATGCAGAATATCTTTCTTTGAGGTTCCTGTCATGCTTTCAAGTCAGATAAAGTTCCCAGGGAATGAATGAGCTGACTAAAACTTGTATATTTTTAATGCCATGTAAGTCGCTTTGGATAAAAGCATCTGCCTGATGCATAAATGTGAGTGAAATTCAGGCATCCCAGCTTTCCTTAGAAGCCCCGGGAGTCTCCCGCATGTGGAAAGCCATCCCTAATGATGCCTGCATATTAAATACAGTATCCCAGAAATCAAGTCAAGCGAGAGAGAATAATATAAATCAAAAAGGACATTAGATATGTTTCTGGTCTTATTGTGGACGATTGTTCAGTGCATGTAATTTTTAAATCAAAATTTTTTAAATAGACTTGTACGCTGAGGCCTGGGAAGTGTGCAATAACTTGGTGTTCTGCTTGTTGTAATTTGTTTTAATTTTATTTTTTTGGTTGAATCTTTTATTGGATGTGTCATGAGTGTTTATGAAGCCTATGTGTACATCTATACCTGTTATTAGTTTTTTACGTGTATTTATTGTCTGTAAGGGCACTCTTGAGTCCATGACAAATTTCCCCTAGGGGACAATAAAGTATATTCTATTCTAATTCCTAATCAAATCTGTGTTGATCAGGTGGTCTACAGGGGAAGCATGACTAAACTGGTGCGCATCAGGAACCCGTGGGGGGAGGTGGAGTGGACGGGAGCCTGGAGTGACAAGTGAGAAACAAAAAGATGAACTGATAGAGTGTGTTTTACTGTGATGATATTGCTCTGATGACCGATCTGGTGTGTGTGTGTTCAGCTCTCGGGAATGGGACAACGTGGACCGCTCCGTCCGGGGCCGCTTACAGAACCGCAGCGAGGACGGAGAGTTCTGGTGAGTGGATCATGATCTGACAGGTTTAGATTAGCAGTTAGTCCCATAGTATTAGGAAAAAGTCCCTAGATTTCCTTAGCAACACCCTAGAAACCACCTAGCAAACACCGAACACCCTAGTGGTTCTCAAGCATTAAAATTAGTCTGGGCTTGAAGTCAAAAAGCCTGAGAACCACCAGCAAGAACCTATAAATGCCTATGAACTGGTCAGAACACCTTAGCAACCACATAGCAACACCCTAGAAGCTACCAAGCAAACAACACAAATCACCTTAGCAAAGATCTATAAATGTCCTATCAATCATTCAGACACTTTAGTACATGCATGGCAACAACCCTATAAAACACCCGAACCACCTGGCAACAACCTATCAATGCTCTATAAACGTTCTGAACACTTTAGCAACTACATAGCAACAGCCCTAGAAACCACCTGAACACCTGAATCATCAGAACAACCTGGCAACAACCTATTAATGCTCTATAAATGTTAAGAACACTGCAACAACCACCTAGCAACCACACAGAAAAGTCTAGCAACGACCTATACAAAATATTCAGAACACCTTAGCAACGCCCTAGTGACCAGAAACCACACAGAACACCCTAGCAACGACCTATAAATGCCCTACAAACTTTTCAGAACACCTTAGCAACACCCTAGAAACCAGAAACCACACAGAACACCCTGGCAACAACCTACCAATGCTCTATAAACCATTCAGAACACATTAGAAACCACTTAATGTTCAACAATATTATTTATTTGACTGCACTGACACTATTGGATGAGAACTGAACTGAGCTGGACGATGACATCACTTTTTTTTTTTTTGCACAGCCACTTTATAGCCGAATTGAACTAATTTACTAATTGATCATCTTTACAATGGAACTGAATCAACACTGAACTGACTTCAGCTCACCGTAAATCTGCTTTGAACCCATCAGTAAAGCGCTATAAAAATAAAGGTGACTTGACTTGACTAGAAACCACACACAACACCCTAGCAATGACCTATAAATGCCCTACAAACTATTCCGAACACCTTAGCAACCACATAGCAACGCCCTAGAAACCACCCAGCATAATGCCAACAAGTTTTGCTCTGACAAATTCCACTGACATTTTAAATGTACTAATTTTGTGCACAGGCACACATTCGTTTACAGTTTTGACCCAGCACCTGTGAAAATGAAAATCTTCGCGCTCAGAGAGGAAGGATAAAGAAAGCAATTTGGTTTTTAAGATTTGACAGTACCGGTCTCTCTTTCTCTCTCTCTCTCTCTCTCAGGATGTCGTTCAGTGATTTCCTGCGCGAGTTCAGCCGCTTGGAGATCTGTAACCTGACGCCGGACGCTCTCCAGGCGAGTCAGGTGAAGAAGTGGAGCACGTCGCTCTATCAGGGCGAGTGGAGGAGAGGCAGCACGGCTGGCGGCTGCAGGAACTTCCCAGGTACAGCATCCGCACAAGGACATCGCTGGCTCAGTGTTAGCGTTGGGAAATTATTGGAATCGAAACTGTGAATCGATAAGCATAATCTGAATTTAAATCACTAAAGTTCAAACGATACCCAACTTTAGTCAGTGTCTGCAAAATGGCAAAATCTTCATCATCCTCTTATGTTCCCATAAACCATAGCCACGTTCTGGATCAACCCTCAGTTCAAGGTGGCCTTAAAACATCCGGATTCTCCTGGCCAATCAGATTGCAGCTTCCTGGTGGCGCTGATGCAGAAGGACCGCAGGAAGAAGCGGAGAGAAGGAGAGGACATGGAGACCATCGGGTTCGCTATTTACGAGGTCAGAAAGCAGATCGCTGTTGTTTGTGTTCACTTGTTTTTGGCTCTGTTTGATTGCTCTTTTTGATTGGTCATTTCTTTTTCACCTTTATTTCTGCAGGTGCCAAATGAGGTACGATGAGAGGCCTTTTGAATGACTGTGAATTTTAGATTGAGATATTTCAGAGTTTTGAAGCTCTTTAAATACTGTAGAACATGGAGAGAAAAAGCATTTGGTCCGTAAAGGTAAATAAGATCATCTTGAGGACACTGGGTCTGTTTCACTAATAGTTGCATGGATTATTCATATTCATACTCATACTTCTCACACAAAATGTCTGCCTAATTCCTAACACATGCATACACATGTGAATATGTTCTTAACCTCCTTCTAATGTTAATGAATTTGGAGTACTCTAAATGAGTGACCTCATGACCAAGGTTAGTCATTTGCTTAAAACGCACACACCGTCTCCATATAAGGGCTTTCCACCACTCTTTTTTTTTTTGTGGTAAATTTAGAATACATTTTAGTATGAAAGTCGTTGATGAATCATGATTTGTGAAAACGTTTGTTTGCAGATTTCACACACAAATTCATGTGTGCTCATGATTAGTGAATGAGACCCAATGTTTGTCCAAAGCAACATCTAAAACAAGAAGACAGACACAGAAGACTGCTGTTTTGTGTATTTCTCCGCTCAGTATACGGGTAGGTCGGCCGTGCACCTGAAGCGGGATTTCTTCCTCAGTCACGCGTCCAGCGCTCGCTCTGAGCTCTTCATCAACCTGCGGGAGGTGAGCTCGCGCTTCCGTCTGCCGGCCGGCGAGTACATCATCGTGCCGTCCACCTTCGAGCCAAACAAAGAGGGAGACTTCGTGCTCAGAGTTTTCTCAGAGAAACCAGCCAACTCAGAGTAAGTCCTGCGGGAACTAATCTTTCATTTCCCAGCATTAAACAGCTAAAAACGACAGATAAACAGCTAAAAACGACAGATAAACAGCTAAAAACTACAGATAAACTGCTAAAAACGACAGATAAACAGCTACAAACGGCAGATAAACAGCTAAAAACGACAGATAAACAGCTACAAACGGCAGATAAACAGCTAAAAACGACAGATAAACAGCTAAAAACGGATAAACAACTAAAAATGGCAGATACATAGTTTAAAACAACAGATAAACTGCTAAAAATGTCAGATAAACAGCTAAAAATACAGATAAACAGCTAAAAACGGCAGATAAACTGCTAAAGACGGCAGATAAACAGCTAAAAACGACAGATAAACTGCTAAAAACGACAGATAAACAGCTAAAAACGGCAGATAAACTGCTAAAAACGGCAGATAAACTGCTAAAAACGGCAGATAAACAGCTAAAAACGACAGATAAACAGAAAAAAACGGCAGATAAACTGCTAAAAACGGCAGATAAACTGCTAAAAACGGCAGATAAACAGCTAAAAACGACAGATAAACAGCTAAAAACGGCAGATAAACTGCTAAAAACGGCAGATAAACTGCTAAAAACGGCAGATAAACAGCTAAAAATGACAGATAAACAGCTAAAAACGGCAGATAAACTGCTAAAAACGACAGATAAACTGCTAAAAACGGCAGATAAACTGCTAAAAACGGCAGATAAACTGCTAAAAACGGCAGATAAACAGCTAAAAACGACAGATAAACTGCTAAAAACGGCAGATAAACTGCTAAAAACGACAGATAAACAGCTAAAAACGGCAGATAAACTGCTAAAAACGGCAGATAAACGTCTAAAAACGACAGATAAACTGCTAAAAACGGCAGATAAACTGCTAAAAACGACAGATAAACTGCTAAAAACGACAGATAAACTGCTAAAAACGGCAGATAAACGTCTAAAAACGACAGATAAACTGCTAAAAACGGCAGATAAACTGCTAAAAACGACAGATAAACTGCTAAAAACGGCAGATAAACTGCTAAAAACGGCAGATAAACTGCTAAAAACGACAGATAAACTGCTAAAAACGACAGATAAACTGCTAAAAACGACAGATAAACTGCTAAAAACGGCAGATAAACTGCTAAAAACGACAGATAAACTGCTAAAAACGGCAGATAAACTGCTAAAAATGACAGATAAATAGGTAAAAACAGCAGATAAACAGCTAAAAATACATATAAACTGCTTAAAACGACAGATAAACTGATAAAAACAGCATTAAACTACATTAGTCGGAATAAAAATAAGTTGCGTTAATGAGGTCTAGAATGACCTTTTATTCTGCACAGAAAATTTAATATAGGGCTATTTTGAAAATATAATATGACTATTTTTTCAATTACTTCTTAAACAAGTTATTTGCCAACTGATATTTGTATTTTTTTTCCTGTCATTTTAGTGCCTCACTAGAACAAGCTTTACTTTGAATTAGTGCTGTCAGATCGATTAATCGCATCACACTGAACTTTGATAACATGTTTGCTTAATCAACTGAAGGAAAGCATTATTGACGGGCTGATATTGTATTTTGTCTCTGTGCCCTTCAGAGAAATGGATGATAAAGTCACGGCTGATATTCCCGAGGAGGTGAGATCATCAGCTCGAGACACATTTCTGTATTTAAGCAATAAGATAAGATTACACTGCATTGTCGATATAGTCTTGCTAAAGGCTAACATGAAGATCTAGTCCTGATGTGTAAACTAGATGTGTAAACTAAGTCATTCAACCATTACAGACACCTTAATGATTCTCTCTTTCTCTCTAGCAACATCTGCACGAGAGTCAGATTGATGCCGGCTTTAAGAGTCTCTTCAGACAGCTGGCTGGACCGGTGAGACACACACACACACATCTGTTGTGTGCAGACGTTCAATATTATGATGCACTGCTACAGAAATCATGTGTGATTGTGTTTTCCAGGACATGGAAATCAGTGTGACGGAGCTGCAGACCATCCTGAACCGAATCATCTCCAAACGTGAGATCTTCATACACTCACACACACTGTAGCTTTGATTTACAAACCTTAGGGAACCACTTCAGCTGCTTTCTTTCCAAGACAGTGTACTAACTTACATGGAATTAAATAACGGTTAATAAATCGATAGCATATGTGGCCCTGGACCACAAAACCAGTCACATGGGTACATTTTTTTGAAATTGTGATTTATTCATCATCTGAAAGCTGAATAAATGGGCTTTCCATTGATGTATGGTTCGTTAGGACAATATTTGGCCGATATGCAACTATTTAAATATCTGGAATCTGAGGGTGCAAAAAAATCAAAACATTGAGAAAATCCCATTTAAATTTGTCCATTTATGTTCGCGATTGTATGGAAGCTTGTTTCCGCCACTGAATAAAAAAAATCAAAAAATAATTGCGACTTTTTATCTCACAATTGCGAGATGTGAAGTCAGAATTCTGAGAAAAGATGTCAGAATCTCGAGATATAAAGTTGCAATTATGAGAAATAAAGTCGCAAATGCGAGAAAAAAATACAGAATTGAGACTTTTTTTCTCACAATTGCGAGTTTTTCTCACAATTGCGAACACATAATTGAGATTCTGACATCTTTTCTCAGAATTGCGAGATATAAAGTCGCAATTGCGAGTTATCAGGCCAATTCTAAGGAAAAAAAAGACTGACTTTTTTCCCTTCAGAATAGTTTATATCTCACAATTTCGACTTTATATCTCGCAGTTCTGACTTTATATCACGCAATTCTGACTTTATAACACGCAATTCTGACTTTATATCACGCAATTCTGACTTTATATCTCGCAATTCTGACTTTATATCACGCAATTCTGACTTTATATCTCGCAATTCTGACTTTATATCACGCAATTCTGACTTTATGTCACGCAATTCTGACTTTATATCACGCAATTCTGACTTTATATCTCGCAATTCTGACTTTATATCACGCAATTCTGACTTTAAATCTCGCAATTCTGACTTTATATCACGCAATTCTGACTTTATCTCGCAATTCTGACTTTATATCACGCAATTCTGACTTTATATCTCGCAATTCTGACTTTATATCACGCAATTCTGACTTTATATCACGCAATTCTGACTTTATATCACGCAATTCTGACTTTATATCTCGCAATTCTGACTTTATATCACGCAATTCTGACTTTATATCTCGCAATTCTGACTTTATATCACGCAATTCTGACTTTATATCACGCAATTCTGACTTTATATCTCGCAATTCTGAGAAATAAAGTCAGAATTGCGAGATGTAAACTCGCAAAAATGCAAACTGTGTTGAAACGCTGCTGTCAATCAACAATCGTGGGAGGGGCGTCCGACTGTGTGACGTCATACGGTCGAACGGCTCGATTTGAGACGGGAAAACATATAAGGAGATTAAAACAAAAACACTGGATGGATTTTTATCATTATATGATGGTTGTGTACAGGCACTGCCAACACACATTTCAGTACAATCAACTTGAAAAAGTGCATGTACCATTATATGACCCCTTTAACATCGCATAATAGGGGCACTTTAAATGAACCATCAGATCACCGTTCAAGAAAAGGACGTGAACACTTGTCTGTGTTTGTGTTTTTATTCCACAGATAAAGATTTAAAGACAGACGGCTTCGGGAAGGAATCCTGTCGGAGCATGATCAACCTCATGGATGTATCCTTTCCACAGCTTCTGCTTTAATGCAAGAAATATTCAGTTCGACTCCTCTGAAAATATGAGTTATCCTCTTTTGCTTTGTCACCAGATACATTTGGCCAATGCAGTGTTTGGATGTCAAGTCTTGTTCGCTTTCACACTGTATTTCTGCTGGTCTTGCTCGTATTGTCCTTGACATGCTTCAGGCGGACGGCAGCGGGAAGCTCGGACTCACAGAGTTTCATGTGTTGTGGGAAAAGATTAAACGCTACCTGGTGAGATGATGTTATATTATATTCATATTTTCAAAGATGGTCTTCAGTGAAGGCTCTAATGACGAGTTGGTCAACACATTTACACATTCAGTGTTCAGAAGCTGGAACGGGACATTATTACTCATTTCACATGCAAACAGGCCACCCAGTCACAACACGGGTCATTTACATATAAACGTATTAAAGGTGCAGCAGAAAACGCAGCATGTTTGATTCCCAGGGTCAGAGAGAAGGTGTCTAAAAGGGGTTGGTCTGAAGTAGCTTCATTATTCATAGGTGTGGTTGGGGCGTAACCGGAAACAAACCAATAAGAGCGTCATCCAAAATACCCTTTAAGAGCATGATGAACGAGGTGCGCTTGTTCCATGGCGCAATACTATTATAACGGCGCATTTACCAGGCGCGCTTCAGAATCGGTTCACAGCCGAGGAGATCGATGTAAAAGAAAGAGAAGTGGCATTGGGGATGGGACAAACCCACCCAAATTAGCTTCGGTTAAACATGCATATAATAATTTGGGTAAATGTGTAAGCTTTTTCCTATCGTCATGGACACAACAATGATTTCCCTCGTGTTTTAATATTTTTCCTTATAATAATGTATCATTTGCAAAAAGTAAAATGGATCTGTGTAGATGAGAGAATCATCTACAGTGTATGCGCGTTGTTCACACTCTGTATTATGGCCAAGCATGCGCGCTTAAAATAGCATCTGAATGTAGGCCTACGCGCAACACGCCACTGACTTTAGACTAGGTTTTTTCTGGTCAGTGGCGGAATTGTTTTCTGGAACTGCAAAATAGCACTAGGGAATGTTTGCGCCGGAACACGCCTCCTATTTTGCGCTGAACCGCCCCGGGGAGCGCAAGTTCATTTCCTAGTTTGCCGGCGTGCGTCTGTGGAGGGAAAAGCCCGCTTTGCACGGGTGCAAAATACGAATGATACATCCGTCTGTGTACAAAGTCAATTGCGCTGAGTGCAAGATAGGGCCCGGGATGTGATTATACAAATTTCCGTATTATCCGAACTGAAAAGTGTTAACCATCTGAATCGTGTAAATCCGAGAAAAACATGGTTTATTGGCGAGGGACAGGATTTTGTCACTGTAATTGTGAAATGGCCTTAAGTAATTATGAAATAAAATGCTTTTTTTTTTTTCAGAGTTCAAAGCGCCAAATGCGACTAAACAACAGCATTGAATTTATATACTTTTTTATGAATTTGCGATCATCAAATAACAATGGTTGTGATGTAATTATATAAATATATAATCTGACGCGCTGCATGTTTCGCAGTAAAGCACAGCACTGTGTTCATTTGCAGATTCAGTGCGACTCTGTGTGTTTGAGTCGCCTATAATTTGCATTTTGAACGGAACATGTGCCAACTATCTTCCCAAATTTGTAATGAGAATCGTTTATTAATCTGTTGTTGTCAACAAAGAGAAGTGTAAGATCTCCCTGCGGTTTCCCGCCAAAATAAAAGCTCAATGATTTAACGTTTGAAAGCAAAAAAATGAAGACAAACATAAATGTCAGTATTATAATTTTACTGTTGTTCTGTAAAATAAAATAATAATAATGATAATAATAATTATTGTTATTAATCATTTTATTATAACATAATATATTATTATTATGATTATTAAATACTTGATATTTAACAGTACGATTGTATGTATTATTGTTATAGTAAGATGTTTCTTTATTAATTTAATAATTATTTTAATAATAATTGCTTAAGAAGGTTTTCCTTCTTTTTTGTCTTTAGCCAATCAAATGCCTGGATAAACCAGACAGATTATTTCAAAGCAGCTGCAGATTATTAATAAATAGGAAAATAACAGTGTTAATGTTGCAAAGTCACACACATTAAGAACATGAATGTGCCTGTCGACTTCATATTCCAGTTATTCCTGCTCAGTTTATGAAGTCTTCCCCCTGTTCACAGCAAATCTTCCGAGACCACGACCTGGATAAATCCGGCACCATGAGCTCGTACGAGATGAGGAGAGCCCTGGAAGCAGCAGGTACACCGACTCACTCTGTTTCTTCTGTTCTGTTTCTGTCCTCACCTCTTCCTCTCTCTCTCCAGGGTTTAAGCTGAACAACCATTTATTCCAGCTGATCATCCTGCGCTACACGGAGCAAGACCTCTCTGTGGACTTCGACAACTTCGTCACCTGTTTAGTGCGACTGGAGACCATGTTCAGTGAGTCCGACTGCGGGAGCTTTTTGGCCTAAATATTACAATTGTACTGGTTTTGGTTATTCAGTAATGCGCAAAGATTATATGTAGAAAATATGTATACACAACTGGTCAAAAGTTTGAGGTCAGGATTTTTTTTGTGTAAAGATATTTCTACTTTTATTCAGCGAGGATGCATTAAATTGATCAAAAGTGACAGTTAAAGTAGTTTTTATTTTAGTTATTATAGTTTTATTAATGTTTTTAATTAGATTTTTATTTTCAGTTTATGTGTTTTAGTAATAGTAATATCAGTTAGGTTTTTTTTATAAATATTGCCATTTAAGTTTAAGTTTATTTTAGCTTTTATTTATTTCCAGTTATTAATTCTAAACTTATTTCAGTTTTTTTTGCCCAGGCAAAACTCAGTTTTTCAACTAATACTTATATTTTATTGCAGCTTTATTTCAATTAACATAAATGTTTTAATATTTTTAGTTTTAGTTACAATAATAACCCTGCAGTAAAGACATTTATAATGTTGTAAAAGATTCTATTTCAAATAAATGCTGTTTTTTTTTTTTTAAATCTTTCTATTCATCAGAATTCTGAAAAAATGTTTTCACAAAAATATGAAGCAGCGCAACTGTTTTCAACATTGATAATAGTCATACATGTTTCTTGAGCATCAAATCATCATATTAGAGTGATTTCTGAAGGATCATGTGACACTGAAGACTGGAGTAATGATGCTGGAAATACAGCTTTGATCACAGGAATAAATTACACTTTACAATATATTCACATAGAACACAGTTATTTTAAATTGCAATAATATTTCACAATTTTTACTGTTTTTACTGCATTTCTGATCAAAGAAATGCAGCCTTAGTGAGCAGAAGAGACTAGTAATATATAGAGAATTCATGTAATTGAGTATTCTGCTGTTTTCATAACAACAAATCATTACATGAACATATCTAAACAGAATCGTTGTCTAATAATACAGTAATTCTGTCATAACATAAAGCTGACTCAGATGTCTGTTTCTCAGAGACCTTCAAAACGATGGACACGGACGCAGACGGAGTCGTGTCGCTCACATTCTTCGAGGTTTCACTTCACTTTCATGAACATTTCTCACACACACTTCTTCTGCTTTACCTGGTGCACAACATCAGCAGCCACACACACTTTACATGAACCCTGAAACAACATGTGAACAACGTAACATGACACTGACATGTGAAGGAAACAAGCATTTGCGTTCCTCTGTTTGCTCTAACACGATCTCTCTCTCTCTCTCTCTCTCTCTCTCTCTCTCTCTCTCTCTCTCTCTCTCTCTCTCTCTCTCTCTCTCTCTCTCTCTCTCTCTCTCTCTCTCTCTCTCTCTCTCTCTCTCTCTCTCTCTCTCTCTCTCTCTCTCCTCTCTCTCTCTCTCTCTCTCTCTCTCTCTCTCTCTCTCTCTCTCTCTCTCTCTCTCTCTCTCTCTCTCTCTCTCTCTCTCTCTCTCTCGCTCTCTCTCTCTCTCGCTCGCAGTGGATCTCTCTGACCATGTTTGCCTGAAATGGACACATATCTCCACCCTTTGTCTGCACTGAGACGTCTAAAAAGTGCCTTCATTTCTACACATCTTCAACGCACTTCTAATGGACAGACAGCCTTAAGTCACGAAGCCCTGTTTACATAGACTTTAATCAGAACGTGGACAATACAGTGCCAATCGTGAGTGTTTCTGAAGCCAAGAGAAACTCTATCACACCATTTACAGCATGTTTTACTCATTCTGGATCGAGCTGCATGCGTTTTTCAGATAAAACTCGTTTACACTTTATGTGCCAAATCAATCATCGCCAATTTCAATCATTCTCAGCCGTTTTTAATCAATGTTTTATGATCTTGAGCTGCAGATTCTTTCAGTGATGTCATATCTGAATGTTGTACACATAAAGAATGCTGTATTAGAAACACATGTGTACATTTGAGCCCAGCTTTACTTACAGAAAGTGTTTGTTTGGACTGAAGGTCATGCAGCTGTTTTATGGGACAAACCAAAGGATCTTTTATCAAGCTGAAAGCGACATGCGTTTTTTTTTTTATATACATTACTTAAGTTCTGTTTATATGAGCAATGCAAAACCTCTATTCAATACAACAGGAGCAACAGAACTGGGAACAGATCGAATCTGATATACAGAACCACGAGATTAAACTCAACTTCTTTTTTTATAATACAACGATGAAAAGGTGGAGGAAACTCTCTTTTTTTTAATGCCAATCAGCAGGTTTTACAAAATATTTTTTTCCTTTGTCGATTCATTTTTGTGGGTTTTCTTTTCAATAAACTTTCTTTTGAAAAAAAAAAAAAGTGCTCTGTTATGGATTTAACAGTGCTTGTCTCCATTTTTTTTTTTACTTATTAGTTTTTGTAGGGAAATGTTTCCGGTGTGGGTCTTAATATCAAATATGTGTAAAAATGTCTGTTGATATGATGGCTCTGCATTGCCCCATCCTACAAAATAATATAGCCTATTTAATCTACTATTTTACACAGGATATTATAAATATATGTATAATTATTATCCATGCAGTTTTGTATTATGTGGAATATACAATTAATCTGGCTGACTAACTATTTAACTATAAAAATTATCAAACAGTCAGCAGCTAAAAAAATATCTTTAACATTCATGTAGATTTTATAGACAATTAGAGATCTATAACAAGATTAGTCACTACAGAAACTGTGGTAGTTTGATATTAGCTTGGTATTAGAAAATAAAATAGAATTTGACATTTAAACAAAGACATTTAGATAATTTTATTTTACTTTGTTTATTTTAAAATACTACGCTATTAAATAAAACCACAGAGTCCCTGAAAATGTTAACACTGGTTTAAGGCCATATTTCAGATTTATTAGTAATTATAAACAAACGTTGTATTTTGTGGAAATTATGGTATGGCTTTTATTTTGAAATTAAAGGGTACACCAAGCGTAGGGTTCCCCGCTTTGTTTACAGCGTTTCTCTTTAGTTCCGCAGTGCGATCAGTGCCGTTAGAGAGACCGAGATCATGAACTCGCTCTCGCAGGAGATCGAGGGATTCTCCGCGGCGCGTTTGAGGAAGCAGAGCACGCGCGTCACGACCGTGACGGGCGAGAAACTCGTCGAGACGCGACGCGGCGATGATTTCCACGTCACGCGCGATACGGAGCGCGAGAGTGACGCGGCGTGCGGGTTCGTGCAGGACTTGAACCTGGACCTTCAAGTGGGCATCATAAGACCCTTCCTCCTGCTCTGTGCGTTATGTCTTTACTGTCTATCTGCAATATTTATTGTGAAAGCCCGACACAACTCCCACTGTTGGGTAAAGTAATGGTAATACCATTGTACTATGGTAATTATTGGCTATATGTATCAACACAACAGTGTCTAAATAAACATGGCATTACCATGTTACTTTCTGTAAGGTTTATCTAAGGTGAACAATATCATAATAGAATTCTATAGTTTGGCCTACAGCTAGTTTACACTGTAAAATGAATTAAATTCAAACTTGAAAATAATGTTGGCAGATTATGATAGTAATATATATATATATGGCACATTAAGTATTAACCTATAACTGTTTATTTTTTATTTTTTAGCCTCCCAGGATGCAGCTCATGACATAAAAACTTTGAAAAAGTTAAAGGTAAGGTAATGAGGTTTTTTATTGTTATTTTATATATTTTTTAATTTTATAAACTTTATAAAACTAGACCAGCTTATTTGTATAATACTAAAATTATATATATTAGTTCTGTCTAATCGATTAATCGCATTTAACATAAAAGTTTTTGATTATATTATATATGTGTGTGTGTCTATAAATACACACACACACACACACACACACACACAAAAAAACATATTTATACATACATAAATGGGTGTGTACACACAAACATATATAATATATATGTTATAATAATATATATATATACATGTATCTGTTGTGTTTTAGGTGACTCATGTGCTGAATGTGGCGTATGGGGTTCAGAACGTGTTTCCTGATCTCTTCACATATAAGACTATTACCATGATGGATATTCCCGAGACAGACATTACCTCACACTTCCCTGAATGTTTTCAGTTCATAAAGGAAGCCAGTCAGCAGGTGTGTGTGGAAGACAGACAGATGTGTGTGTGTGTGTGTGTGTTTGTGTCTATAAGCTCTGCTCTGCATGTTCTTCAGGATGGAGTGGTGCTGGTCCACTGTAATGCTGGAGTGTCTCGCTCTGCTTCTGTCGTCATCGGGTTCCTCATGTCCCAGGAGAAGATGTCGTTTGATGAAGCCTTCAGCGCTGTGAAAACTGCCCGGCCTTCCATACAGCCAAACCCAGGCTTTATGAATCAGCTGAAGAAATATAATCCATAATGCCATACAAACATTGGGACTGATCTGATGTTTCTGTAAACCCAATTCTTCTGTATATATATATTTTTTTTTAAATGTTTGTTTACACTTGTTGCATAAATAAAACATTTGCCATTGCTGCTGATTTATCGATGGTCTTTTGATGTTTAATGGGTGACTTTTATTTTGAAATGCATCAGGACCGGAAACTGATCAACCGTTGAATTCGCGGTCACGTCACAACACAGTAACTAAAGGGACTTTGGCAAAACAAATGAATCAATAATACTAGTCGCCTTTTTTATTAAACATTTTAATGATATATCAAAGGAATAGAAGTATGTCGTGTGAACTCTCTATCCAAAAACAACTGCTCACAATAATGGACAGTTTAGTCTCATCTATAGTGACAGAAATTTGTCAACTTGATATTTTTCAGTCAAAACGTCCAAATGGAAATACAGAAACTGATATTAAATTGGTAAGTCCATTCAAATGTATCATTGTTGATGTCTTAAAAATCGTAAAGATTAAGATGTTTTACCATTTCACTCAAATTTACCGTGGTAAACAGTTACTTCTAAACATACCATAGTTAATAGTTATTTGCAACGCTGTAAAGTTATAAATAAGTAATATGAAATCTCCTTAGCGTCTGTTATTGTGTTTTCTTTTATAATAAGTATTTTGTTCGACTAATAGCTCATTAGCTGACTAATATTAAACGGCCACAGTTAATGTTTGACCTTCCAGAAACATTTTGTTGCTAATAAATACTTTTTAAGGCAGTGTGTTCTGTTGAAATATTATTGCATTTATTAAAACAGCTTTGTGGGTTTTTGAATTAAAATATTGTCTTGATATATTTTGGAGCTTTAATCATTGACATAGTTACATTAAGTTAATCTATGTGTTAAAAAGTTAGTCAAGCTGAATTTTTAACTTTACCTTCACAGTTGTAGTTACTGAAATGTGTTGTTTGCTTCAGAAGAATCTGACAGATGCTATAAGGAAAATAACAAACTCAACATCTGAACACATCTGCACAATCCTTCATATAGCATCAACTGGACGAAGAAAAAATGCCAAAGATGAGGAACATGTCAAAGGTGGTTCTTATCGTAAATAAATCATGTATTAAATGGTTTTAAATGATTAAACAAGAAAAATGCATTGTTGTAGAAGGAAACCAGGACGATGTCACCTCAGGAATCCAGGATTGCACCACATTTGGTGGAGATCTTCCTCAGACTGTTGAAGTAAACCACATCCTGCTGTAATTGTTTGCAATAAAAAAAAAAAAACATACACACTATAATTTGCTGTATATTAAACTAACATAGTCCTGTATTTATCTAGGACGAGCCTGAGATTACATTTGAAGAAGCATTTGGCCATGAAGAGGAACAAGTAGAGTGTCAATCTACTGCTGTTGATGGTACAGACGGTATGTTTGTGTCATGCACATTAATGCATGAGGTGTAATATGTTAATTTGAGGCCTAAATATCCAATATCATATCTATAAACATTAGGGGTGTAACAATACCCTTATGTCACGATTCGATACATATCATGATACGATATTATTGCGATACTCCAAGACATATGATAAAAAGGTTAACAAAAAATGTTAAATTTAATTAAATTGCTAAATTTAATTTTACATTGTGGGTGTAAAATTAAATGATTGAATAGGCTTGGACTTGGTGCTGAAACCCAATGCACAGGACAATAGTGACACCAGAATACAAATATTCAAGATTCTGAAGCTGAAAATACTGAATTATTTTAGACGAATTTGCTTGCACTCTGTCCTAGATATATTTAAAATAATGTGTTTTTACTGGTAACATCAGACATTTGGCATTATCAGGACCCACAAATATTCCCACATTGCATTATTATACATTATATTCAACATTATATATAGTAGTTTAATGTAGTACTGACACTAAAACTCTGAAAACTACATTTTTTTCTCACACAGTAATTTTTATTTTGGTACATACATATTGTCGCTTTTTTTTTGCGATATATTGTGACACCTCTAATAAACATGCGATGTTCATGTTGCAGATTCAGTAGAGCCCAGTGCAGAAGAAACTGAATCTGTAGACCATCAACGAGAAGAACCAAACCAGCCAAACTCCAAAGATGAATCAAATGACATTTCAGTCCAGTTGAACATAGACACACTGGACGTACCCGACATTATCGGCACAGAAGCGTATGTAACTACAGACACCACTGAAGAAGTGCAGCTGAATGCAGGAGATGAGCAGAACGCATGCAGAAGCTGTGGGAAAACCTTCACCTTCCTCAGTAACTTGAGAAGACACCAGCAGAAGATCCACAGTGGAGACGCTCCTCACGCTTGCCAAGAGTGTGGAGAGCGCTTCGCCTGCCGACGCCTCCTCCAAATCCACCGGAGGATCCACAAGGTGGAGAAACCTCACAAATGCGAGCTCTGCGAGAAGACGTTTCGCTTGCCAAACCACTTGAGGAATCACATGACGAGTCACGGTGACGAGAGACCGTTCGCCTGTTCCACGTGTGGCAAGAGCTTCACGCTGATGAGCATCCTCAGATCTCATGAGCGAACACATGGTGGCGAGAAGAACTTTGTGTGCCTGCAGTGCGGTTCCCGGTTCCTCACCAAATCTTACCTGGATTACCATCAGCGGGTTCACACCGGAGAGAAGCCATTCCCGTGCAAACACTGCGGGAAGAGCTTCGCTCAGAAGGGGAACCTCAAGGCACACGAACGACTGCACACGGGCGAACAACCCTTCAGATGCGAGGACTGCGGGAAAACCTTCGTACACTCGAACACATTCAAATCCCACAAGCAGCTCCACACGGGAGTCCGAGCCTTCTGCTGCGAGCTCTGCGGGAAGGGGTTTCGGCGAGGAACGCATCTCAAGACTCATCTACTGACACATTCTGGAGACAAACCGTTCAGTTGCGACGTATGTGAGAAGACTTTCACTCTCAAGGGGTCTTTGAAGACTCACAAGCTCACTCATACGGGGCAGAAGGGTTACGCGTGTAACGTCTGCAATAAGCGGTTTACTCAGGCCAGTTCGCTGGGAAAACACAGACGGGTTCACACCGGAGAGAAGCCGCATCGCTGCCGGAACTGCGGCAGGGCTTTCTCTCAGAGCAGCCACCGTAACTACCACTCGAAGGTTTGTCACGCTAACTCAGGGGTGGAGGAGAACTAACCGGTCGTTACATGATCTGTGCCTTTCTTGATTAAACCCGACTGTGCACAAATACTTTTGTCGAAAAAGCTTGTCTAATTTTTATAGGTGAACTGCAATTTCCTGTTTAAGTTCTGGATAGGATCATTACTGTGAATCTATGAAACATCTAGATCATATTTCACCCTTAATGAAATGCGAGGCATGCTTCAGTACACATAGAAAAACCTAAAAATGCTCAAAATTCTGATTAAAAATGCTAAAACTTTACCAAAAAAGGATTTTATAATGTCTACATGTGTATCTGAATGCATCCTGAAGACAAACTGACTTCAGGACCCAGAGGAACCGCTCATTTGCTCCATATATAGAGCTATAAGGCCATCTAGAGTCATGAAATATCATGTTGTTATTATTTTTTTTCCACAAGATGTCGGCAAAGACACCCGATGTAAGATATTTTGAGCTGAATTAAATGTGTGAAATAGTGAGTTATTTTTAATTTCAGTTGAAAGAATGTGAAGAAGGTGCTTAAATTACTTCGAACTTACATTACTATTTATGTATTATTTATTAATAAAATCTGGTCATTTAAAGGTAAATAAAATAAAAATAAATTCTCCCAAAAAAATTGCATTAAAAAATTGAAAAAATATTATCAAAAAGAAATCAAATAAAGACAATATATATATATATAAAGTATAATTTTAGTGTTTCGGGTCATTTTGACCCGCGAGGGAAGGATGAGGGTTAATTCCTATGGGGGTCATATTGACCCATGAGGGAAGAATTTGTTACTTTTTTAAACAAAACTTGTTTACAAAACTCCTCAAATCCATTAAATTATTTTTGTGTGTATTCGTGGTTCAAGTGTGACAAAAGTCCTAGGGTCTTGGACCCCTCTGATGAACACTCAATGTTTAACATAAAAAAATATATTTTCAGGTCAAAAGAAAGACATACAAAATACATGTACAACTTGAAATGTAAAACACTTACTTGTTATGTAACCGTCTCAACATAGCCGAAATAATGATTGATAATGGCAAAATAATGAGACTTCATTTTATTTATGCAAAATATAATTTGTTTTTGATGTTGAGGTGAAATACATATATACACCCCCCCCCCCCCAATTTTGCTAATAATGTAAAAAACAAATACACAAGATAGACCTTTACTGTACATCTACCTACAAATATACTACAAACCAATCAAAGTGTTACAGAGATTTTTTAAATCAAAGTAACAAATGGTAAACTTTTAAGTTTGAAATAAGAAACATTAGTTCATCATTCAGAGGAATGTCACAATTATTTGTATTTTTTTCTTGTAAAGAAAGAAAGAGAAAAACCCAAAGCACTCCCATGCTCACCAGACTTATATACATAAGCGCAAAAAAATATCAGGCAGACCAAAAATAAACGAAGGCTTTACAAAATGTAAATGTGTTTAAAAACAAGATTCAATAAACATTATAAATAAGTGTGAGCTGAATGGATTTGACCCGGTGTGTTTGTTCACAGATGAATCGGCGTTCTTTGGTCTGTGACTGACGTTGGGTCTGATCCGAGAACAGTCTCAGGCGTAATTGTTGTTGTGTTCTAGACGGGTGACTAAGGTGGACACGAGTCTCTCCAGCTTCTCCGCTCGCATTTTGCCCGTCTGCAGAACTTCCTCGTGATTGGCCTTTTCCTCGCTGTCGTAGTCCATAACCGCTTTATTAGTTATCAGAGACAGAGCGAAGACGCGCATGCCACAGTGCCGGGCCACGATCACCTCGTGAACAGTGCTCATGCCTACAACACACAAAGCCTGCTTATTAAACTAGTTCACATTAGAAAATTTCACTATACAGTACAATAACTTATGGTGTGTTCACAATGACACTCTCATTGGTCACTGGATTTAACTTCATGCAAATGAGAAGTGATGCAGTTTAACTTGGTTACATTGAAAATGAATGACTTCAAGTTACTGCAAATTGTCGTCAGTGTGAACGCCCCTTTTGGCCCATCGGAGAACTGCATAAATAAACTATTATAACACTTTCTGATTGGATCGTAAAGGGCTAGTTCACACAAAAATTAAAAATCATTTATTTACAATCATGTCGTCCCAAACCCGTAAGACTAGGGTTTAGTTCATCTTCAGAACACAAATAAAGATCTTTTTGATGAAATCTGAGAGATTTCTGTCCCTCCATTGACAGCTACACAACTGTCACTTTGAGGCTTCAAAAAGTTCATAAAGAGATCATAAGTTCATAAAGCGAAATTTCGCTTCAAACTTTTGTTTTTACGCGTGTCAGTTTCACTCTTGACGCACGTAAAAACAAAAGTTTGAAGCGAAATTTATGCACGTCGGATTCGAAACCCGTTGGCGGCCATCTTTTTTATTTTTAACGAGCATTCATCGGGAGAGTCACCGCTCTGTATTTGCTCTGGAGAGCAGAACAGCGGCGTAGGGGTCATCGTCGCCGTATTTGTGTCCACCAGACCCTTCGGAGGCGAACCCAGTTTGGCGAGTTTCACCATTTGCTCGCTCCAGGAGCTGCGCCTGGATGACGGCCGCTTTCAGCGGTACTTCCGCCTGTCCCGCGCCCAGCTTGATGACCTGTTGTCCCGCATCGGAGCGAGGATCACCCTCGCCCTCACCCACCTAATATGTCATTTATTTTTGTGTTGATGAGAAATGGAGCCAGCCTCCAAAAGTGATTAACCTGTCCTGTGATTTTCTCTCTCACACAACACTGTCCAGACACGAACTTATGCACTATAGTATGTTGGTTGTCATTATAATACTATTTCATATAATCTAGATATGGAATAAATAGCATTCAATACAAAATGAATGTCTCATATATTGAAATCAAGTTTTATGTGATAAAATATTTGCTTTGTTGTGCATTAGAACCACACAGCCATTTAGTCATATTACAAAATAATTTATTGAAGCATCCGGATACTTCACCACGTGACAGCAGCAAGCAGCTAGGCTCCTGATTGGTTAACGCGGCGCGAATTGACGCCAAAGTTCAGATTTTTCAACTCGGGCGGCAAACGCGTGAATGCACAAAAAGCACTTAATAAAATCATTAATCATCACAGCGCCGCAGGATTTTTTTACGCGCATAACGCGTCCTTGCATTGACTTAACATTGAAATCACTCGCGCCTGACGCGCTATTCGTGTGCGGTGTGAACGCACCATCAGATTTCATCAAAAAGATCGTCATTCGGGTTTCGAAGATAACGACATGATGGTGAGTAATTAATGACAGAATTACAATTTTTATGTGAACTGTCCCTTCAGTTCACAAGAGAGGCGAGGCAGCTCTTACCGACAGCATCGGCTCCCAGCTTGTTCAACATGCGACACTCCGCGATCGTCTCAAACGAAGGTCCTCCTAGAACGCAGTAAACGCCCTCTCGCAGGAAATCCCCGAAACCGAGCTCTGAACCCACGTCCAGCGCCAGCTGCTGGAGTTCTCGATCATATGCGTCAGACATGCAGGGGAAACGTAAGCCAAACCTAAAAAAAAAAAGAGCAATGTAAGTTAAAGGGATAGTTCACCCAAAAGTGAAAATTAGCCCATGATTTACTCACCCTGAAGCCATCCTAGGTGTGTTCCAAGCGGCTCCGGGGGTTAATAAATAAAGCGAAGCAATGCGTTGGTGTAAGAAAAATTTGGCGTAAGTTGACATGTGGACAGCCGTCTGCCGGAAGCTGGTTATTTTAGACGATAAGGTTTTAATTATGGATATTTTTCTTACACCAACGCATCGATTCACTTCAGAAGGCCTTTATTAACCCCCGGAGCCGTTCACTTTTATGATGGATAGATGCACTTTTACGATGGATAGATGCACTTTTATCATGGATAGATGCACTTTTATCATGGATAGATGCACTTTAATCATGGATAGATGCACTTTTATGATGGATAGATGCACTTTTATGATGGATAGATGCACTTTTATCATGGATAGATGCACTTTAATCATGGATAGATGCACTTTAATCATGGATAGATGCACTTTAATCATGGATAGATGCACTTTTATCATGGATAGATGCACTTTTACGATGGATAGATGCACTTTTACCATGGATAGATGCACTTTTATCATGGATAGATGCACTTTAATCATGGAAAGATGAACTTTTATCATGGATAGATGCACTTTTATCATGGATAGATGCACTTTAATCATGGATAGATGCACTTTAATCATGGATAGATGCACTTTTATGATGGATAGATGCACTTTTAAGATGGATAGATGCACTTTTATCATGGATAGATGCACTTTAATCATGGATAGATGCACTTTTATCATGGATAGATGCACTTTTATCATGGATAGATGCACTTTTATGATGGATAGATGCACTTTTATCATGGATAGATGTACTTTTATCATGGATAGATGCACTTTAATCATGGATAGATGCACTTTAATCATGGATAGATGCACTTTTATCATGGATAGATGCACTTTTATGGACTTCAAAAAATGGTGCCCATTCACTGCCATTATAAAGCTTGGAAGAACCAGGACATTTTTAAATATAACTCAGATTGTATTCGTGTGAAAGAAGAATGTCATATACACCTAGGATGGCTTCAGGGTGAGTAAATCATGGGGTAATTTTCATTTTTGGTTGAACTATCCCTTGAAGGCTTGTGTAATGAACAATTTGTACAGGAGTAGGTGTGAAATCTCTGCATGTCTAAACAGCTCCGTGGCGTGAGAGTGTTAGATATAAGTGAGTGCTGCAACACACATACCTCTCGTCGTTGGGTCCCGCCAGTGGGTTGTTTCCAGCAAATCCAGGCATGTTGAGATGATCTTTGATGATCATGATGTCTCCTACTTTATATTCCTGGTTCAGACCGCCGGCAGCGTTGGTCAGAATCACGGTCTTCACTCCCAGGATTTTGAAGATCCGCATAGGCATCGTAATCTGCAACAGAACAACAATACTAGTTTGAGATGCTCAGAGGAACCTCACATTTAAATACAACAATGGCACTTATGAAACCGAGTACACAAGCATCAGATGGACATCTCGTTACAGCTTGCTGATTTTAGCACTAAGGCAAGTTTTAAAGTTAATGCAAAACCAACAAGTGTTCTGGACTTTGCGTTAAATAGGGCCGAAGAAGAGTTTATGCTTCAAATCACACACAAAACACAAATCGTTCAGACTAATTAGGTTTTCAAATAAGGTAATTTGGCAATTAGATTAATCACGTGGTGAAGAGCAAAAATGCTCATGAAGAATCTAGGTCAGGGTTCTTTAACACTGTAGAACTTTCAGTGATATTTAAATGCATAGAAAAAAGCTATATTGCTAACGGTATTAGCCTGGTTAAAACCAGACCATTCTCAGTTGTAACTGAGTTATGGTCTGGCAAAGCGTCATAGACAAATCATTTCCAGAGGGGCGTCACCAACGGACGTCGCGGATAGACCTAAACCCAATCAGAGCGATGAAGGAGATGACGTATGCAGAGCGGCGGAGAAACATCTCCGAGTGTTGTTCTTTGCTCGGTTTTTAACAAAAGGGAAACGTTCAAATCGCTTAAAACAGACGCGATGGCTGATTCGAACGAGTGATGTTCGACGGCGGCATCCATCTTTGTAATGTAGGCTACAAAATCTGCTTCAAAATCCCAGCGCTGTCGTCATCGTGTAAAGCCCGCCCCAACGTTTCTGATTGGTGCCTCGATTTCGACGGATTGGAAATGGGCTTGAATGAGCTCTTTGCCAGACTAACTTTCAGAGCAAATCTAAATTTGCCGGAAGTTGTCTGGGTTTTCCCAGGCTATAACGGTATGCCAGTCCCTCCAGAAAAAAACGTGATTGTGCGATTGCATGATTCAGTGCATAATCAGCCAAAGTCCGCATATTTGTGCAGGGGCCGCACTTTTTCAAATACGCCGCACTTTCGCCGCATAAATTGCCGATTTCCGTGCAAAATATGCGGGGCTTGCATGATTTCATAATCCTCGCATTTTCGTTGCAAAAAAAGTCACATATCTTAGCAGAAAGTTTAAAAATGTTGCGTTTGCTTCACACGAGAGCCTCCGTTTCCCCCTGTTGCCATGGGAACGTTACGAAGTGACGTAATTACGCGACGTGAACGTCATCGAAAAGCTGTAAAACAGGAGCACACTTTATTTTTTTATATTTTATTTATTCATTTTTACAAAAGTTGTAGCATATTGCTTTTGTAAAGCTACAGAACTTGTTTGACTCATCATGTTTTTGTAAGTTTGATGTGTTTATTAAGGTCTGAAATAAAACAAGATGAGAACTAAATTTTCCAGCACTTTCTGTGATGTATATGCTTGCTTATCATAGTAATAAGAAATGACTCTTTACATTAAGGTAGGAGCCTAGTGAGAACAGGGCGTTGGGGGAATCACTTTTTTTTCTCTTTTTCATCAAACCGCAGTTTTTGCAAGTTCCCGCAATTTCATAGCATAAAATTGCATAAATATCCCGCATATTCCATCGCATTTTTAAAGAAAACGGGCCGTATAATCAAGGATTTTTGCCCGCAACAATCACAAAAAAACTCATTGTTTTTCTGGAAGGACTGGTATGCAGTTTGGACGTGAGTATTATGGGGCGTTTGTACCTTTTGGATGGCATATCCCTCATAGAGATGAAACCTTCCCTGCATGCAGACACATGGTATTCCCTTCAGAGTGCCGAACACCAGTCGACCCGCGTGACCGTGCACTGCAGAACAGAGACAAAGCACAGACTCAGCAAAACAAATAAGAGGAGTAATGGAAACCTTGCAAGGTAATACCTCACATTATACGCGCTCACCTGTGCTTTGGGGGAAGTTGGGGATGTCTTTGTAGTTGAAGGCCACCGGGTCTTTCAACGCATCAGCCAGTCCGCCCATCCCGGAGCCACACACGATGCCCACCAGAGGACACACTGCCGTCTGGGACAGGAGCCAGTCCGCCGTGGCCTGGCAGTCCTCAAAGCTGTACCTGCAAAGAGACACATTCATGAGTCTACAGTACACACACGACTTTAACCAGCTCACAGCATTCCCAGCACACATGTTATGCTTATATCTGCCTAGAAGTCAAGATCTGGTGGTGGAGAGTTTTAAAAACTAAGCTATACGATTCTGGCCTGAGGCACTAACATGGACTAACCACTTTTTCCACAGGCGTTACTTATTAACCCGACATGGGGGATGGCGTCCCGTCCAGGAAACACTATTAGTTAAGTATCACTTTCAAAGTGTTGCTGGAATCTCTAGTGCTTCCCTTAAATGATCTCCGCAGCATCCCATGTTAGAGTCACTCTCTGCAGGAATAAGGTTTATCAGCAGCCGGTCGAGAGTCACTTCAGACACAGCAGAGCGACTCAGTGGCCAGACAAATACACACTCATTTAAAACGTCACAGAATATGTTAAAGTTGCATGAGATGTGCATGTGCGCTCATGATTGGTGACGCTCATGCCGGCCAGACTCGCAGCTGACAGTATTATCATACTAATCAATGAAGTCTAGACTTATTAAATCATGTGAGTATGTAGATTAGATAGACGTTATATGGTTTGTTTTCACTGTCCTCCTTTTGTGAGAAGAAATTTTCCACAACCTCCACACAAGGGGACATAAACACATGTTAAATCATAAAGTAGGAATAGACATTGTCAAACGACAATTTAACATTCAAAATATAATAATTCCATCACATTCCCCGGAGTCTGACACACTTGAACGTCACAAACATTCAACTTGTATAGAATTTACTTACACAAAAGGGATATCGAATAGCATCTGCATATGTATTATGCATTATAAGATGCCAAATACTGTATTTGAATATATGTATTTGGCATCTTATATATGTATTTGGCATTTGTATTTGGCAATATATGTATTTGGCATCTTGGCATCTGTATTTGAATATATATATATATATATATATATATTGTTGTTGTTGCTTTTAAGTAAACATATCAGTCCCTTTTCCAATGTTATTATGATGTATACCATATAATTTACGACTAGTAGGCTAATGGTTGACCAATATTAATGGCTGAATAATTAAACGTATCTAAAGAGCAGGTTATATTGTGTTTTTGTTGTATATGATATGTATGTGTGCGTAATGTATTTTACCATTTTATTGTAGAAAATATACATTTTCAAAATAATTTCAATACAATCAACAATATAAATAGTAAAAAAAAAAAAAAAAGTAGACCATTTTTTAAAAAACATTATTATAATAAATAATTCGAAGTTTTCAAAGAAAACCCGTTTAAAATCCGAAACGTCCTCTTATATAACGGTACCGAAACGCGCGCGGACTGTTGTTCAGTTCTCTGGCAGCTGTTCAACACACGCAGCGCGCACACGCATCACCACGTGCTCCTCACTGCGACGATTCGGTTAAATGCAATCTCACATTGATCATGACAGAATGAATGGATAAATTATGATAGATAAGCTTTAACTAAGCAAACCCCTGTACTATGGAGCCATGGAGCGATTATATTGCATTCACCGACGAAATAGCCTATCCAAACATATAGGATACACTTTTAATAGACAAAAGAAAGAATATAGAAAGTTAGATCTGAAAAAATAATAATAGTTTACCCAGTGCTGCTCTCAGGAAACATTTTTAAAATCGCTGGTCAGATCGACAGTCAATAAACTCTTTAATAATTCCTGAAGTGTTGCTCACGTCGCCGGTGTTTTTATAGATCCTCCGTTTCTGCCGCTCCTCCCCGCGTTCTGACGCAAATGAGAGGAGGAACGCAACACACACACCCCTGACGCGACGCCCACTGGCGCAACGCCCGCGGTCAGGGTGGGCCAACACGGGCTCTTAAACACGAGAAACAGCTGTCACAAAGACCGAGCACCTGATATACTGGAAATTGGGTTTCAGCTAGATTAGATTTATGGATGGTCGAAGAAAACAAACGCATGTGACTAAGTCATTAAAACATTAATGTGTCCATGTGTATTTGGCTTATTCAATCTCATTCACAATGATTTAGATAAGGAAATCGTGAACTTTTATAGCCTATACACATCGGGACAATGACCTTTTATCTTTGCCTGTGAATGAAAGCATGCCTATTGAAGAAGTGTGTGGTGCGTATCAACAATAACGCACGATATGGTCGTTCCTGGTGCCTTTTTGCCATCAAGTTTTTAAAAGGATTTATCCTATTTAGAATTTTTGGGTGTGTATTTTAAAACAGGCTATGCACAACCTTTTTTTTTTTTTTTTTTTTTTTGTTGTTGTTGTTGTTGTTGTTGTTGGAATTTAACATATTTTGACCCACTTTGACTAGTCCTGTGTCAACATTTCAGAAATGCCAAAAGTAAATAAGTCAAAGACTCCAGTTCTTCAACATTCCCCTCATTGAGCACACGTTATTTTAGGCCTATAATCTAAGACCAGGACCAGGGCACCTCAGGAACAAAGTTCATGACCCCTGTTGACCTACGACCTGTCTCAAACATATCACATTGGGTAGAAGTATCCTATTTATATTAGCACCTCACTTCCCACACATGATCATGTCCGTCAAAACTGTCTCAGCGCCACCAATGAAGAAGAATGTTTTTCAATAATGATTAATTTATGCGATCACCTTTTTCTGTCATTCTGTAACTGTAAGACTGGCATCATTTCAGTTCATTACATCATTTATTGTGTGTTTTGATGTAGCCTGTTGTTGTGATCAGCGGGATCAAGGTACACACGTGACTGAATGGCGACGCATAATATTTACAACCTAATACAGTGAAAACACTAAAATATATTTAAAATGCATTAATTTAATGCTAAGTATACTATTATAAATGCATTTACATATTACATACTTAATATAAATACCCTGCAATTGAACTTTTGGGATACTAAAATTAGTATACTTCAAGTCTGCTAAATTGGAACAACTACTTTTGTACTTAATGTACTTTATTTATTCAGAAATAGTGCCGAGGTCCAGCTAAAGACACACTTAAGTATATTAGATTGTGCTGAAGTGGAACTATTGCAAGTAAACTTTAGGTACACTTTAAATATATTGAATTGACATCATACAGAGATCAAATTATCCTTACTAATAGTGAAATTGAACACATTTTAGCATTAGAATTAAGACATGTGCATTGTGCAATAAAGAAGTACTCCAAATAAAGTTTAATTCTGTTTTTATCGAATTACTGATATGTCAGTAAATGTTAATAAATTTATAGTATACTTAGTATGAAATAAATATATATTAAATACATTTTGGTAGGTTTTTCATATAGGCGATGATGCAAGGCCTGTTAAGGGCCCTTGTTTTCGTCTCGGTCTCTGTTGTGACTCCACCCAAAAACATAATGAAGAGAAATAACACGTGTGGAGCTCAGGCTGTGTTATTTGTATCCCTGAACAAGCAGACACGCCTGCGTCCTGACCAATCGCGTAGCCTCTCTGGATCATAATGCCACAAAAAAACAATTGAGCCTTTTCCTCCAGAGCCCTTGTAATCAATAAAAATGTTCCCTGTCACGATGCCAAGTTCATTGAGCAACGAGTCCTGCAGAACAAGGTCAGGGCAAGGGGCCCTTGTCATTTCCCACTTTTATGCTCTGAAGCGATTACACATTATTTGAAAGCCTAGACATCTAAACACTGTCATGAGCAAAGTCTATAACATGATATTTTACTCCATCGCAACTGTTTGAATCAGCATCAGTCTTGAATGAACACATGAATCTTTATGCAACAAACTGCACAGATAATAACATTATCCACGGCAGATAAGTGCAAAGTATACTCACTTCAGACCAAGTGTGTGCATGAAAGTCACATGTGTCGTCATCAGACACAGCGACCCCATTTATTCATGATGAGAGAGAGTGTGTGCGGTATGTGTGGAATGCGTGTGTGAGTTTAATGGTTTAGCTTTACTCCTCTGAGCCTGACTAACTGCCACACACACACACACACACACACACACACACAAGAATATGCGGTTTTGATAATCCAACACAATGGCGTAGTAGATGCAGCATTTGAGAAGAGTTCGGTCACGAGCAAAACGTCATGTCTGTGACTCGGTGTGAGACTCAGATCTAGAAGGTTCTGTGTATATACAGTCTAAAAACTAGCAGTTAACCATCTTACTTTTCCAATTCAAATGATACCGATCTTATGCAACGGGCCATGGGTGTCACGATGTGGGTTCATGTCTTGTTCCTGTCTGTCTTGTGTTCCCCCCATTATTGTGTATTTGGTTTAGTCCTTTCTAGTTTTCCCGCTCCTCGTTTGTGTTCATGTTTTCCACCTGTGTTCTTAGTTAATTGCCCAGCTGTGTCTTGTTTCACTCACCCGGTCCTCTGTATTTAAGCCCTGTGTTTTAGTTCAGTCCTTGTGAGTTCTTAATGTTGTAATGGTTGCTTTTTTCTGTGTTCCTAGTCTGAGTTTCTTTTGTTTGTTTGTTTTATTAAATGTGCTTGCAATTGGATTCATCTCTCCGCTTCATTCCTGCCTGCTTCGTTACAGAAGAACTCACCAACACTGAATCCAGCAGCATGTTCGCCAGTGTCTCTTCTCCAGCCACCGAGCGGAGGAGAGGCCACTCTTTTGAGTGGACCCGGTTGGTCAAGTTTCGTGGTACACGTGGAGGCCTCAGTAGAGGAGGTGGTCGAGAGGAGCCCCGACACCACTCTCCACGCTGGCCACTCTTCGACCCTGGGTTGGTGATGTCTAGCCCAGGGCCCCATTCGCCGCTGGTTCCGTCCAGCCCAGAGCTTCACGTCAGCCACGTCCAGCCAGAGCTTCACGTCAGTCACGTCCAGCCAGAGCTTCACGTCAGCCACGTCCAGCCAGAGCTTCACGTCAGTCACGTCCAGCCAGAGCTTCACGTCAGCCACGTCCAGCCAGAGCTTCACGTCAGCCACGTCCAGCCAGAGCTTCACGTCAGCCACGTCCAGCCAGAGCTTCACGTCAGCCACGTCCAGCCAGAGCTTCACGTCAGCCACGTCCAGCCAGAGCTTCACGTCAGCCACGTCCAGCCAGAGCTTCACGTCAGCCACGTCCAGCCAGAGCTTCACGTCAGCCACGTCCAGCCAGAGCTTCACGTCAGCCACGTCCAGCCAGAGCTTCACGTCAGCCACGTCCAGCCAGAGCTTCACGTCAGCCACGTCCAGCCAGAGCTTCACGTCAGCCACGTCCAGCCAGAGCTTCACGTCAGCCACGTCCAGCCAGAGCTTCACGTCAGCCACGTCCAGCCAGAGCTTCACGTCAGCCACGTCCAGCCAGAGCTTCACGTCAGCCACGTCCAGCCAGAGCTTCACGTCAGCCACGTCCAGCCAGAGCTTCACGTCAGCCACGTCCAGCCAGAGCTTCACGTCAGCCACGTCCAGCCAGAGCTTCACGTCAGCCACGTCCAGCCAGAGCTTCACGTCAGCCACGTCCAGCCAGAGCTTCACGTCAGCCACGTCCAGCCAGAGCTTCACGTCAGCCACGTCCAGCCAGAGCTTCACGTCAGCCACGTCCAGCCAGAGCTTCACGTCAGCCACGTCCAGCCAGAGCTTCACGTCAGCCACGTCCAGCCAGAGCTTCACGTCAGCCACGTCCAGCCAGAGCTTCACGTCAGTCACGTCCAGCCAGAGCTTCACGTCAGCCACGTCCAGCCAGAGACTGTTCACGTCACGTCTTCCCAGCCAGAGACTGTTCACGTCACGTCTTCCCAGCCAGAGACTGTTCACGTCACGTCTGCCCAGCCAGAGACTGTTCACGTCACGTCTGCCCAGCCAGAGACTGTTCACGTCACGTCTGCCCAGCCAGAGACTGTTCACGTCACGTCTGCCCAGCCAGAGACTGTTCACGTCACGTCTGCCCAGCCAGAGACTGTTCACGTCACGACTGCCCAGCCAGAGACTGTTCACGTCACGACTGCCCAGCCAGAGACTGTTCACGTCACGTCTGCCCAGCCAGAGACTGTTCACGTCACGTCTGCCCAGCCAGAGACTGTTCACGTCACGTCTGCCCAGCCAGAGACTGTTCACGTCACGTCTGCCCAGCCAGAGACTGTTCACGTCACGTCTGCCCAGCCAGAGACTGTTCACGTCACGTCTGCCCAGCCAGAGACTGTTCACGTCACGTCTGCCCAGCCAGAGACTGTTCACGTCACGTCTGCCCAGCCAGAGACTGTTCACGTCACGTCTGCCCAGCCAGAGACTGTTCACGTCACGACTGCCCAGCCAGAGACTGTTCACGTCACGACTGCCCAGCCAGAGACTGTTCACGTCACGTCTTCCCAGTCAGAGACCGTTCACGCCACGTATGTGACGGCAACACTGGCCATTATGGCCACAGCCATGTGGTGTGGGTGGGCTGCGCACACACTGGAGCCAGTGTCCGCTGATCCTGCGCCAGAGCCCGCTGATCCTGCGCCAGAGCCCGCTGATCCTGCGCCAGAGCCCGCTGATCCTGCGCCAGAGCCCGCTGATCCTGCGCCAGAGCCCGCTGATCCTGCGCCAGAGCCCGCTGATCCTGCGCCAGAGCCCGCTGATCCTGCGCCAGAGCCCGCTGATCCTGCGCCAGAGCCCGCTGATCCTGCGCCAGAGCCCGCTGATCCTGCGCCAGAGCCCGCTGATCCTGGGCCAGAGCCCGCTGATCCTGGGCCAGAGCCCGCTG